CTAGCCAACAATGTGCAACAGGTCGACATCATTGGTTCTCTATGGCCCTGGTCTGAAACTAACTGTAAAATGGTGGCAACAACATTGAGGTGTGCTGCACAGCTCAAGCTCCTGTAACCCAGATGAGGATAACTTTGTGAACCACTCAGCAGGGGATGATGTGTGAATCCACACTACGTCACGTGACAGCTATGCAGCGTACTCACAAGCATGATCTGATAATCCTCAGGTTGAGGATCATCAGATCAGTTGTGGCCAGATCACTGTGAAATAATCCTGAGGCAAAGTGGTTAACTGTGTTCCAATCGGCTTCAGGCAAATCCAGTGATAAACCTACGGCTGATGTCACAAATTAGAAACACAGCATAAGCAACTAGACTGAGCTATCTTAACTTGGTCTTGTATACCAGTGTAGGATAAATTTGGGGACAATATCAAGCAGTCAAGTAGTCAATTACAGACTGTAGAGGGACACAGCCACCACTTTTAAACATCCAGACTGTGATCTTTAGTTGCAGTGGTGGCTTTGAAAGACAAGGAATGCATCTTAGAAGTGTTCCGACAGTCGTGAATCTGTCCGTAGTCTCTGCTCCAGTGCCATGTATTTGTGAGGGGCATTCTCCTTGTGTCTGAAACCATGAAAAAATTAAAAAAAAAGGTCACATATTAAAAAAACACAACAATTTTAAATATAACTAGAGCTGGAAAGTGAAGGGATTCTCCTCTGGAGTTCCATGATTTCTTTCTTGTTTTTTAGGTGGGGGTAGGTTCGTTTCCTTATGTAACTTTGACAGGTTTCAAAGAAGGAGACAAATTCGGTCTTAAATGCAAGACGTATGATATGAACACACAGCGACTTCTGAGGGTTTTAAGGAACCCTTACTCTTAAAGCGTTGTTGGAAGCAAAGCCTTAAATTACCCAACACATTAGCGCAGGCCTAACTCATCTCTCTCTGGAGTATTGTAAGACCGCACCTAAGCCACAACATCCAAACATTCTGCTGCACGTATGACAATGTTGAGATTGAGATAAATTCGCTTTTCAAACCAGTGGGTGTGAGACTGTCAAAATGTCGTCTAGCATAGACACTGCGTCCTGACCTGTTGAGTCTGAGCTCCAGGATGTGTATTCTGAACATGGCCTCGCTGCAGAAGGCCAGATACTCCTCCTCGTCGTCCTTGTGCATGTTGACCTGGTTCTGCTGGTACCAGTTCTGCTTCTTCTGTAGCTCCGCCGTCTCCTGCAGGCAAAGACAGGCCAACATCAGTGCATGTTAAGATCAATGGGACAGAACGGTAATGTGGCCGATCACAGTAAGTGAAATCAGAAGTCAGGTGCTGACCCGCTCAGGTAAAAAGTATGGCATTAATGGGTTATGAACAACAAAAGGAATGTCTAAGTTAGAGTTCATTTGAATCAGGTTGAGGCCATGTCTGAAATGGGCTTCCAGAGCTATGGCTAGGTCTAATGTCTACGCGTCTCCGCACATTTCCAATGGAGGGAAGACCTAGACCTAGCTCTAGACAACAGATTCGGATGAAGCCCGAGGCTGTGCGTAAGACTGGATGACTTGTGATGGACTTTGTTTGGTATCATCACCTGTTCCTCAAGTCAGTCTTTCTTCTAATGGTCTCAGCATCAAAAATGAGAAGTGATGCCATGATGATGTCGTATTTGAAAATTCATTTCTAAATGGCCCTTTTGGGGCATAATTCCCGGTCTTTTAAACTTCAATTTGGCACAGTTGAATTTACAAATGCTGCTTTGATCTCATTGCAGATATTGACCCTCTAATACATTTTGAAAATAGCTATGGAAAGGTGCCTTAACTCTGCTTTCATTTATTACAATGAGCAAACTTTTTGTCTTGCATTTGTATTGTATTTATCTTGTGGGGAGATTCAACTACAAATGCAAAAATTAGCCTTTACAAATGGATTGCTCTAAAGAATGTTGCAGCAAGCCAAAGACCCACTTTCTCAAATCGTGCTTGGATGAGATTGGCCTTGTCGATGAGCCTCTGCTTGAGGTCGGCCAGGCAGTCTTCCTTGAGCTTCAAAGCCTGCTGTCTGTTCAGCCTCTCTGGGTCACCAATCTGGGCCAGGAACGGTGCCAGGTAGTCCAGCTCCATTTCCTCACGTCGCTTCTTCTCCTCCATCTGGAGGCGCTCCTGATGAGGCAGAACAGATCAACGAAAGTTGGAGTTTGTTTGACATTGACTAAACCCAAAATAAGTCAAGTCTGTCACGAGTCAATGTGGCCCATCCGGCCACGGTGCTTATCTCTGGTTTTCAGCGGTGTGAAATGACTGGGAATACGCGTATTTCTATTCCCCCTGGATGGGATGCACGTTGCTCCCCGGATACTGACAGCACCAATTTATACACCAATTGATACATGTGGGTGGAGAGAAGTGGAAGTGTCTTTCCCAAGAACACAACATATGTACAGCCACCAGGTAGATTCAAACCCATGACCCTCCGAGTCGTGAATCCTAACGATTTCATTACACTCCCTTACTACTACTGGGTTGTTAAACATGAAGGGGGGGTTCCTATTTTTAAACAAAAACAGTTCCCTTCAACACAATTCTATCTGCTAGTGTGAAATTTTGACATGCTTAAATGGAGGATTTGGTTCCTTTATACCATGTTGATGGTTTGTTGCCTGTGTTAGCGCCAAGTGGATTTTGCAGGATTTCCTTGTTTCACCAGTAATAGTCTGGTGCTTGGTACATGTCAGTAGGAACCCTCTGTGCGTTCAACACTGCCTGCCTGTCAGTTTGTACCCATGATTAGCTTAATAAACTGTGTCCATTGAAGTGCCTGTGAGACAGTAAAAAAACTCACCCTTTCAACTCTATTCTGTTTGGCCTTCTCATTCCTCTCGGTGTCATAGACGGAGATTTCAAGCTCGGAGCGTGACTCCTCAGTCATTCTATCATTTAGAATTTCCCTCACCTAAAAATGAAGATAGATGGACTGATAGGATGACAACTGAGATATTGACTGGATTTAAGCACACGAACATAGAAAGATTCATAAGTTAGTGAATTGGGGTAAAGAAACGCATGTGCTCGTGGTAAGCTGAATAATCAGGAGATGTTTTGAATGAAAACACGCAACTGATTCAAATCAACATACCTCCTCTTCGGACTCACGCACGCTTGCGATGGTCTTATCTTCCTGATCAACCAGCGACACCAAAAGGTTGTAGATGTAGAGATTCTTGGCAGATCTCTGATGGGGATCCACCTACAAAGGAAGTCAGAGTATTTAGAAAATCAGAATGAAAACATTGGTGATATTCCTTTCCTAATCGAGCACAATCCAGTCTCCAAAGAAAGAGATCAGCCTCATGTAAGCAATGACAAACAGAAAGTACCGAATTAAAATTGCCAGTTTTGAACATCAACATTTCACATACTTTTATTCCCATTTTATTTACTTTTTCGATGTCTGCTAACTTCTAACTCTCTCCTGTCACTTCTCTCTCAAAGGTCACAAATTTTTTTTTTCTGGCTAATTAAAGGCTGAATGGTTCTGATAATTATAATTTATTCATTTATAAAGTGCAAATTTCATACAGATATGTTCAAATGTGCTGTACAATGAAGACATTAAACGTGGTCGAGCGAGCATGAAGCGTGGGGTCTGGGGCCTGCCTAAGATCCCTGGGGAAAACTTTGAACTATAGATACCCCGTTGGGCGTTTCAAAGCCTCCTAGTGCAACCATTGGTCATCTTGCAATTTAGGCTATGTATATTTAAAATTTAACTCTTTCTTCATATTTGTCTGAAATTCCTGAAGGTTAACATGAACTAGGTATGTCAAAACTGTAAGTATCGAGGTTTACAGAGTGAGTTAGCTCTTTTCCCACCTGATCCGACCACGTTTTCAAAATTTCAATTCTTTATTACAAGGAAAGCACATCGGATGTCCAGGCTTTTGGGATTTTCCGGGCAAGGACTGTGATGCCTACCCGTCTATGGTATATTCCAGTCACTGTGTTTTTTCGAAGAATTTTTGTTGTCAAAGATTGTGTCGAAGTCGAAGCCTCTTTGGACAATGATATATTTGCACTGCACTGACATTTCAATGAGTTCATGTCCAAAACTGTTTAATATTTCATTGGCAGCCAATCGCAACACAATGACTGGATGGTCCCAGGATGCTATTTACACACAAGGCTTGCGCTTCGAGCCAAGCCATGTGTATGCCTGCATGAATATGTATACACTGTACGCATGTACACGTGCATGAACATGTACATTCAGTCATATACATTACAGCGCTCCAGTACTGTTCGGTGTCGGTAAGGGGACGTGCAAAGTTTGGCCTGGCCGTCGAGTCACGTCAGTAGAAAAAGAAAAAAGGAAACATTGGTGCTTGTGCAAGGAAAGAACGAGGAACATCAGGCCCATCAATAAAACAAAAGTAGAAAATGAAATTCGGCATACTCAACAAAATGTGGAAATCTGCTAACAAGCAGAGATTTTACACCCCTGTAGAAAGAGGAAACAATAAAAGAAGCAGTTACAGTTTTAGAGGTGGGAAGAAAACCACAAGGAAGATGTTTCTGGGTAAAACCCACAGAATCAAGTAGGGACTGAAAACCCAATCCACACGCGGACTGAGCCGAGAATTGAACATGGGCTGCAGAGGTGAAAGCCGGGCAAAGAAGAACTACTTCGCCAACCCGTCTTTGAGGGAGTTCATGGAACTCCAATTCTACCTGGAATGTGGATGTCATATCTGGAGAGTACATCAGTATTGCACCCTTGTCATTGGCATTGGCTGGTTTGAGGAAGTCCCTTGTTGAGGCTGTGATCTTATCATCCTGGTGATGAAATGTAAGCTGGATGCGATCTTCAGAGATTAGGAAGACTAATTCTGCGATATCCTCACTGGCTGGCTGAGCTGTATTGCGATGAAAGCGATCCACAATTTTCTGCATTGAAAGTAAATATCTTGACTTTAAAGGTTCATGTAGCTTTCCACTGTCAGGAAAGCAACAGACACTATGGGATCCATCATAAAGGAAGTCAACACAAGTCTATCCAACGACAGAAAAACACTGAAATATTGCTTACAAAAGTTTCATACCAAGAATAAACAGTTGAGAACCAGCCATAAGCAAGATACATTACATAATATTCTAGCCCTTAACTGGCTTCTGCTCAGCAAGTATTTTTCTTCCCTGTCTGTTCTAAGCAACATTTAGGAGACTGCACCTCCTGACTTTTGGACTTATTTTCAATGCATCTCTCACTCACCAAGATAGGCCTTGGGTTGGAGCTGGGCAAAGTGCTGGCAGGTTCCAGCCGGCGCTGTCGCTTGCCGTATGTCACGTGCCTGTAGAACAGGAAATCATCACGCTCCAGGAAGTGCTCCGTCATCTCCAAGGGAGTCTCCTCGCGCTTGACCAGGCCGTCCACGCGGGCATGGTGGAAGAATATCATGGTGCGGTCAGTTTCGGGCCCAGGGCTGCCTGCCTTATAAATGTGCTCTGAAAACAAATATTTATTTACTTATTCGGTGGATCCCAAATGAACCAAAACATCAGCATCTCAATTTCCAAAACAAGAGCAAAAGAGTAAAGGAAGGCCAAATATTCTCATCTGGATATTCTTGCTTTGCTGTCTTCCCTTTTTTTCTCAGGGGATTTCGAGCATGATCTACACCCAAGATAATCGGTGCAGTTGGGGCTCTCATGCATAAGCAAAACAAAGTGCTAACACGATAGCGTTTTCTTAGGATAAGAAGTTAACGAACCTTCAATTGAGTTAATTCACCAGCACTTACATTAGATTAAATACTTTATAACACCGCATACCGCATGCTATTAAAAACAGACTAAAGTTGAAATACCTCACTAGAACAGATATACTACAAATTTGGCTGGGGTTGTTAGGACAGCAAAACTTCAGAGCTCAACAAATTGACTTGACAGAGACTGTGGCCAGTGGAAATCTGAGGGACAATGAGCCTTTTGCGAGTTACGTTTGAATAAAATCTGGTACACTGAGTTATCTGATTGCATGTAAACATAACAATTTAAAATTTCCCAGACTATAGACACTGTTGCAATATCACCGTCTCTGGAATGGACTGGGTCCTTTATGTCCTTATCCACTGAAAACATTGTACTTGTGAAAGGTGTATCTTATGTAACTCAGCAAAAGCTTGCCCTAAATCACGCGGTATAGCAACAGTGTCTTTAATATGGAGAATTCAAATTGTTATATTCATGTGAATTTAAAGAACTTAGTGTATCAGATTTTATTGAAATTGAACAAGCAAAAGGGTTATTACAATGTTTGAGGACACAAGTCCCACCAACCACCCCCTGGGGAAGGGGGAGTAACCCATCCCTACATCTGAATAACTGCACTAGGTAATCCGTACCTTTGAGGTGTCTTTGACGTCCTTCCTTGTAGTATTCAGTCACAATGCCTGTCCTGTGATTGTGGATCCTCAGGTCCAGCATGTCCTTCCGATGAGCAAACCATTCCTTGACTTGGATCAGATCTTTCACTGTCAAGGCAAGGGATATGACCGATTTCAGGACAATGACACTTGAGGGGTATCCAAATAGTGCAAGGATGACTGCGTAGAGAGGGAGAGTAGCCTGGAGCAAAGCTCAGGAAACGTGTCCTGTACGGGAACTTTGATTTTGGGCTGTGCGGCCTCTCCGTGAATACCGAGGCACACACACTGGTCAGTAGCATGCAACAAAGTAAAGCTCAGCACATGGCATACACAGCATGTGTAGCTGACTTCTAACTGAATGGCCACAAACCTGCAGCATCTTGGCTGGCAAGGTAAATTACAGAAATGGGCATTAGGTGCCCTCTCCAAACTGTAATGTTCGAGCATTTTCAATAGCCAAGTTTGATCAGCGACCATGTGTCAACCACTGATCGATTTTGACTGGTAACCTATGCTTAAAATACATTCTGGGTACCAGGCAAACCCCACCAATGGGTGCCAAATGGTCGCCACTTAAACCTGATCAATACCAATATTAAAAACTTGTTCCATTCAACTGCAAAAAAGGGAGAATAATAATAATAATAATCTATTCATTTATAAAGCGCAAATTTCACATGGATATGTTCAAATGCGCAATACAATGAAGACATTAAGCGTGGAACAATGAATACATTTAAACATGGTTGAGCCGATGGCATACAAGGGTGCCTCGGGCAGCCGCCAAACGACCCACATTCACCAACATCAGTAAAGGGGAGACAGTAAGAAGCAGTTACAGTTTTAGAGGTGGGAGGAAAACCCCAGAGGAATATTCTGGGTAAAACCCACGGAGTTAGGTAGGGACTGAAAACCCAATCCACATGTGGACCGGGCCGGGATTCGAACCCAGGACCACAGAGGTGGAAGGCGAGGAAAGAACTACCTTGCCAACCTGACTCCCCAATATCCAGGCATTTGAAATTTCCATATTCTTTTGACGTCCCTATTTTGGGAGCATCTACAACATAAAAATTATGGAATATGTGCTTCTAAAACTCTGGCAAATGACAAAAAGAATGAAAAGTTAATACAGAAGTGGAGAAACTCACATTCTTTGTCATGAAAAATGGACAGCCTGGTGACCATGCCATCCCTGACTAGGTAGTGTGCAAACTTCTCCAGCTTGGCCCTTTTGTACAGTAGTGTCTTTTTACCCTGGGGGCACCTGGACTGGAAGTCAGTCAGGGAGAGCTCCAGGGCATCCACCCACGAGGTGGGCATGTCCAGGTTCTTCTCCTCTTCCTTGTCCTCGTCCTGAGGAGAGAGAAACGTGGATGGTGTTCACTACAGAAGTCCTAGTGATATTTCTCCCCAGAAAGATGTTCCACTTTGTTGCCCATTAACCCTAAATTAATGTGCACTGGCCCGTTTAAATTGACCAGAAGCACCATTTGGCAAATTGTAGCTTTATGTCTACTTCAGAATCATATATCACACTTTGCAAATAGACTAATCTGAGAAGGCACCGTCACTCCAGTGGTACCACTCTTGTGCAAACGACACAAGCATTCTCAAACTTGAGGAATGCGTGCAGCTGGCAAGTTGGAAACACTCAGTTGGTCAAAAAGCCATTTAACATGGGCATACAACCTGCTGATGAGAGTGCTATAATAGCTTCTAATTCTAGCCAATGGATTAATTTATAAATGATCAAATAATCATTTCTGGTTCTTTTACCTCTCATTTAATTATCAGTATTATTATCATGTTAATTTGCTCCACTAGCAACCTTAACAAAACTTAACCAAGGTCAACCCTTTTCCAGATCCAACTATTTATTTGCCCAATCAACCCTTGCCCTATACCATTCCCATTGAACAAGGTCTACCTCATCATCCTCCAGATCCAAGCCATCCATCTCTAGCTCGGGTATCTCCAACACTGGCTTCTCATTGTTTGGGAACATGTACTCCCATCGGGTGCAGTCTCCAAGGTCAAAGATGAGGTCCTAAAGATAACAGATTGTACAATATTGAAAACCAGCTTCTCAGAGCTAGTAACAAAATAGACTCTGGAAAAATGATCTCTGTACACATTTCTACATTTCTGCCGTTCAAGAGATTAATCCAACGTTTATCTTTGATTTCAGTCTTATTATTTTCTTAGTGCAAGCAAATGTTGCTAATATTACATATTGATTTTATGCAAGGAAATAATTTTGAAAAATAAATGTGTGCATCCAACCTGAAACAGACAACGGGGCCAACCAAACAGGAATTCATGATAAACAAGGTGTCCAAAACATTTGATAAATTAAACCAGAGATTTTGACCAAACTAATGAAATGTACTCTGAACCTGTTTTGCTACTGACCTTGCACCCATTGGAGCAATCCTGCATGTTGACCCAGTAGTTGTTGTTGTTCCACAGGGACTCGATGCCCAGGAAGGATTCGTGACTGGTGGGGAAGGTGTTGCCTGTCAGGGGCTCGATGAAGAAGTTCTCTGGGACCTCCCGCTTGCCTGCTAGCACCAGGACCCAGCTGTGGACGCGCAGGCCAAAGAGCTCATCATCTGGGGGCTTTTCTAGCTCCTGGCAGGGAATAGAAATATGTGACAAAGTTAAAAACAGCTGCACAGCCTCTCTTCCTCTAAACCGTTCTACCCTGAATTCGTCAACACCTTGTCAAATCTAACAACAGGGGCCATCAGAAATACTGCAAAGTAAGAACACAAATCCACGCAGTATTTTACCAGGCCCATTAATGTGCACTTTTCCATTGTGACATGAAATGAATGCTGTTAGAACCATGGTCTCATCTAACACATCTGGAACATGTCTTGACCTAAGAAAACGTAATTGTTGGGGACTCACTGCCAGCCAAAACCGCTGGTGGCACAGAATGGACGACATGCTTGTAACCTGAGTTCCACATGCACTTATCCACCAGCACTCTCAGTTTTTGAGGGAAATTGAGCAAATGAATTTCTATGTGACCGTTCCCTAAATATATGAGTTTCAAACAAAGCATTTGTGATTTTTTTTTCTTTTCAGAGCTGGTATTTAATAAGGTATTTAATTACATACAAGAATATGACATTTTTCAATTCTCTTGAAATGCATATTACATGATCCATTCTGTGCCCATCATCTTTTTTACAGCGAGTTTTTGCAAAAAGCCGACCCAAAAATCACAAGCTGTGCCAGAGGGCACTGCTAGATGAAACACCGACAACATAGCATATTAACAGACCAACTGAACACAGAATGATTCAACAATTCATAGGTAGGGGAGGGGAAGCAAAGGAGAGAAAAGGGTATTAACTTAAGTCTGTAATGCTCTTCTTGTCAACTTTCTTGCAATGTTCCTTGAAAACAGCTACCACTCCCGTTGGGAACATGTTGGGATATGTACTTGAAAAAGTCACAGGCACATTTGTCTGTCTTTACACGGTCTCCGAGGATCGCAAATCTTTCCGTCAACCTTTTTTCTACCTCTGCTTCTGATATGTCCCTCTCCAAACATTTCCAGAGACCACACTTACCTCCTGCTTCACCTCTTCCTCTTTGCGTCTCTTCTCCTCCTCTTTTCGCTGGGCTTCAACCTCTCTCGCCTCCTGCTTTAAGATGAACTTGCTACGTAGGTCCTTTGGGGGTTTCACAGTGTATTTCTTCACTTCTTTCTTCTGCTCCTCCTTCTTAACCTAGAAATATATAAGCGTAAGAGGCCAAGGCAGAGAACATTTATAATACTAACAAAGTTCTTATTCTTGCTTTTTATTGAAATGATTCCTGATACAGATGTGCAAGAGTTAAACAAGTTAAAAAAAATTAATTCTACAGCAAAAGTTGCAGGAATCTGTTAATTGTAATCATTAATCTCAAAGTGCATAATAAGACACTATGAAGGAATGTACTTCCAAAAAGACCAGTCTTTGAAACCCAAATCACATAAGAAATTGGCAGGCAAGTAAAAACCAAAAATCCAACACATTCAAAATGACTACTGTTTGAAAGGCACACACAAAGATTGGCAACTTAAGACAGTACCTCATTTTTCATCTTCAGCAAAGGACAGATTTCCCTGGCTTCATCACACAGTGTAGTTTCCCTAGTAGCATATCCACACACTACATATGCATCATAGCCTGTGCCCAGTAGCAGAGAACACAACAGTGTACTGATCTCAAAGCAGTTGCCCCGTTGTGTCTTCAGAACCTTGGTGGGCGACACCATTGTCTTGGGCTGTATGAAGAGATGAAACATTACCAAAGAAGTGAGTTTTTGTTGATTTTTAGAAAGAATATTTTAAAACCCGTGAAAGTGAGGTCTTAACAGTAAAAGTACCTGCTTTTCATTATAAAGGGCACCAGTAAAGATTTGTAACAAATCACTTATAAAATTTATTAGTATGTGTGCATAACCAAAAATCACTTTACTTGCATGCAAATAAGCTTTTAGTAGATTATTTCCGAATGCAAATAAGCTTTTGTCCAAAATGTTATATACACTCAGCTTTAAAGGAAAGGAAGACAGTAACAGATCCATGTTCATGAAAACATGGGTAAACTATAAATGTACAATGAAAATATCAGGTCAAATCGTATCAATTTCAGTTTAAGGTTTTGACTACTTCTCTACCCTAAATGTGTCTAGGTAGAAAAACAATGGGCATGTAACACAGATTCTGACATAAAACTGGAAACTGCAAATAAACATCAAGATTTGAATATTTTTTCCCCCATATCCTACCAGTTCAATGGCATGTATCAATGGCTCAAATGTGATGTAATCTGACACAAACTCGGCACATCCGTCGTAGTCGTACAGCTGGTGGTATGGCAGGAGGGTCGGGCGAATGGTTGTGCAGACAAACTTTTCCACCCTGCACTCATTGAGCGGACACAGCAGCAGCGGTTTCCGGTCGCGGTACAGGTGCACATACTGGCGTCGAAAGTTCTCGGCATATTGTAGGACCAACTTTTCCTTGTTGTTGTTCTCCTTGTATGATGATGGAAGGTTCTCATCAATTTGAACTGTGGGCATACTGAATGATGCAAAACAAAATTTTGCAAATGTAGTTCTCATTAAAAAGTAAAAACATCAACAAACAAACAATGGAGGATCCTGGGAAAAAGGCATTGTGATAGTCAGAAATAACATGGTAATAACAGCACCACATTTTTGAAAGACCAATTTGGCAAAAATGATTTAAACTCAATCAAGGAATTCCCTTCCAAAACTCTCCAAAGATAAAGCATATCATATTATCAGTCATGTCAGTATGGTCCTGAAACTGCCTTTATAAACCTGACCTGCTAGGTGCTGGCCGCGTGTGGAAGTTCCACCATGTTTAGTTTAAACTTTTAAATCAATGTTAAATTGTGTTTATTTCAATTATTTTGGGTCTTTGTAAATAGTTGTTCTAATTTATTTGTATTTTTTAATATTGTTAAGCACTGAACATTTTTTATGAAATGAGCGCTATATAAATTGAATTTAATAAATACATGTAATAATAGGTCGAGAGAGCAATCTCCTCAGCTGCTTTCAGCAAGAATAATTTGGTCTTGAGCAGGCACAAGCCACGCAACTAGTAAGTCCTACAATGACAAAATCAAACAGCGACACACATATCAAGTTACACAGAAAAAACAGAGTTACATGTCCTTACAAATCCACTTTTGGCGGTTCCAATGTGATTTGGTCCAGTTCTTCCTTCAGTTCCTCCACAGCGGCCAGCGCCTCGCTTGGAACGGCGGACTGTGTGTCTTCGTCTCCACCACCACGCTGGTCCACTGATTCTGCCTCGACTACAATGGATGGGCCTTCATCAATATCTTCCATGGTCAATCTGAAATCTGATTTGGAAAACAATGCAGAAACTGCTCAAATTTTGTCAGATTTATGTCATTTGACATCTACGTTGAAATGTACGCAAAATCGCGGTGCCGAACAACACATCGCAAAATATAAGTACCCATACCCTTCTTAGCAACCCAATCAAAGTAGTACTTCTTTTAGTCCATATTAACTCACTTTATTCTGAAATTTTATTAGCATAATTAATTTATAAAACAAAATAAAGCATTTTTAGATTATTAAGGCAAATATTTTCATTCAGATCTAGTCTCTTAGTTTATTCCTAAAATTACGCGTAATAATACTACTACTTCTACAACGCCAGCTCGGTCCAACATGGAAACAACCATCTCACCTTTGAACCTAGTATCTAATTAGAATATCCAAGATGTCTGCGCCCACTTGCACGTGCAACGAGATATACATGTACTGTACATGTACATATGCAATATACGTGCAACCAGAGTCTAGCTAGGGCTGCATCCGAATCTCTGTTTAGAGCTAGGTCTTCGCTCCATTGGAAATGCGTGGAGACGCGTAGACAGTAGACCTAGCCTTAGCTCTGGAAGCCCGTTTCGGACACTGCCTAGGCCTGTTTTTTTCTCATCTTGGTCTATGGACGGTGCGGCAATTCTGACCGTGATCTGATGATATAGGCCTAACTTGTTGAATTGCGTGCGAATCGTAGATTGGTCCGTTTGAATTTAAACACAAATTGTGTGATTGATAAGTTTTCAAGAAAACATGGATTGGGAATGAAGTTCAACTGCTTTATATTGATATGAATGAGTTTTCCTTTGTGTCCTTCTTCCATGGTCATTGTGATCACGCTGAAACTGCATTGAACTCAAGCTGAACTTGCTGAGAGTGAAATACTGTTAAACACATGCTACTCAGCATGGAGTTGCCATCGCTGCAAACAAACTTGGAGATTCTTCTACTGGAAACTGGTCACAGTCAATTTCAAACAAAATCCAGCATAGCTGAAATCATTGGTAAACATTTGGTGTTTTGCAACAGTTCTATACCTTGAAATTCCTATTTAACTGTATATTCATGACATGGTTTAGCTTAAGTATTAAACCATGGTAACTTAGCTCATTTGCTGATGTTCGGAGCGTTAAAGTTGGAGTTATTCAAGCTGTGGAGTTCCATATATGAACAAGATGGACATCATTAATTTTCCCTTACACTGATCTATTAGCCATCAGAAAGCGATAACATGTCCTAAAGAGTCAAATTAAGCAGGGAAAATATCGAAGCATAAACTAATAAAACACATGGATTTTTTCAGACTAGTCTTATAGGATTTGTGCATGGTTATCAACTGATGTCTGGATATGGAACTCTTTTCTGATATAGATATTGGCATGATTGGGTTGCACAGGGCATGCGGGACAGAGTTTACAAAACAGAAATTTTGCGAACAGTAAACGAAGGAAGTAATGGGGCATACTGACGATCTTTCCTATCATGAAAGTTTAAAAGTATGTGTTAACATTTCATTATTGCTTAATGTTGTGTAGGGTGTATTTTAAGTAATTAAAGTCTGTGTTAAATACGGAAAAACCAGCACTATTATCTTGTTTCATGAATTTAGGTGATGGGAGTCTGCGTGACTGTTCAAGTTCTCTCTTTAAGGGAGACTTTGAGCAGGTGCTGTTGGGAGGTGTTGCCGTGGCAATACTGGGTTCAGAGGAGGATAATCTTGGAGATGCTTTAGACTTTACAGAGTTCATCCAAAGAAGGGTCAAGTTATACCTTCAGAAAAGTGAGCCAGAAGAACTCACTTTTAGGTATTGTATACCTTACAAGTTTATCTGTGTTATGGAAAGTACCGGTATCAAGAATCAGAACTTCACTGTCTTGCTGCTTTCAGTAATGAATTTCATGCGAAAAGGTGCAATTCAATGGCACAATTCAATGGGGCACAATCAGTCAACGTACACGATTGGTTGATCACTGTACTGTCGGCATGGCATAATCTGTCAGTTTCCCCCATTAGCCAGTAATCTTGTGCCTTCTAATGTATGCTTGTTGAACATTAATTTGGGAAGGGAAGATCTTTCTCACCAGATCAGTTAATAACTCTGCATGATTGATCCATACTGAAGAATTGTGTCCATCAAATCTATCACTCTAAGCTCATTTTGGCAATTTGCTTTCTCTATTAGACTGGTACTAGTATTGATCCATCATGCTCACAAATATGGAATTCATCTGTCTTATAATTATAAAGGACTTGGCACTCTTGTTGCCCAGTTTGTATAATTTCACAACGTATGTATGACCTAGGTATGTACATGTTCCTACCACAAATGAGGATTTGGGGTTTTTATTTTTGGATTTCTGTCCCGGCCGGACATGTATTACAACACTGTATACTCAGTGTTTGCCCCTGAAGGCTTGTGGAAAAACCCACAAGTGTACTCGGGTGGGACTTGAACCCACGACCTGCTTACTAGTGCAGACGTCTCAATCACTTGACCACCGAGCTTGCGGGTGTCAGCTGGCTGGTTCGAGTCAGATGTAGCAGCGGGTACCGTGAACAACTATTTCCAAGGACGGATTTGCACTGGAATATGTTAAATAATTTTAGATGATACATCAGGCAGAGCAAAAATCTAAAATTAATTAACATCTCCCTGGCGCAAATCCATCTTTAGAAATAGATTTGGGTTTTAACAAGAAATAAGAGTCAATCCTTTCTCTGCTTTATATATATTTCATGTTTAATTTGTAAATGCATGTCACAAAATGCTTGTCTCATTTCTGTTTGTTCTTTACTCAGGGAATTGTGTGTGATGTATGTCGGTGTTGCCAGCTTGCAGCTGTTCATTCAAAGCAATTGGACAGGGCCACCATGCCGCATCACCCCTGCAGATGTCTTACCCAAGAGCCTCTGCCAAGAGACAAATGTTGGTATTGCAGCTGCACTTGTGCACGATCACATTGTTACTGGATTATCATGATCATTAACACCACCCTATCCTGTGAGGATTCAGGGAATGGCGTGGAAAGTGGCTGTCAGGCTTTACATTGTCCTGAAAATTGGGTTAGATTGATGTATCTGGGTTTAGGAACAATATGCACAACTCACACTAGTGTTTAATTTGTCTGTAAGATTAGTAGTTACAATCTGTTGCTCTTGTTAGGCCCCAACTATAGCATGATCCCAACTATAGTTGGAACAGGCCCAACACTAGTTGGGACAGGCCCAGCTGTAAATGGAATGAGCCCAACTATAGTTGGGACAGATGCTATAGCTGGGGCATAACACTTTCTCTCTCAAACAAAATTGGAGGTTATTATTGATATAAATGCTGCACTTATGGTGACATTTAAACCAAAGTGTACATCCTGCAGAAACAAGTGTTAGGGAATGCATAATTTCTCAGAAATTGGGTTATTGCAATAATTTTGTTACGTTTATTTTGTATGATTTGAGATTTGTTTATTCAAACGATACTGAATCAAAGGCAAACTTTGCTCTCAATTTTTAACTCCGTCTTTCAAACAGGTCACAGAATTTCGTGAATTTGCAACGTCAACTCTCAGTCCTGATGACTCATCCATTTACCGATTGGTCACCCATCCTGAGTTTCTGCTGATGGCACATTGCATTCTGGTGAACTGTAACGCCATTCTTTCAAGTTGTTTGGTGAGTTCAAGTTTGGGAGTCAGATAACCGCATCCCAATCTGTTCTCTTTATGCATGTTTTACAACTGGAGGCATCCTTACGCTGAGTCTCTTCATGTTGCTTCAGTAAAGACATGGTATGTATGTTTCCCATTCTGTGATCTGAGTGAAGACTTGCCTGCTAATGCAATAGCTCTCTGAAATGTGATTCACTCCTTTTTGTTACTTTTCATTATTGCAGACAGCTGATTGGTGGACTTTGCGTTGCCTGTGGATACAGCAACAAGTTCTGGATGAGCGATCGCCGCTCATCCACAAGGAGGTTCACGAATTAATGGACACGAGTATGATTGGAATTGTCATTGAATCATAGCCACTTAATAAATTGTTGAACAAATGTGAAAAAAAACTGATTTAACTCAAGCTGTGGTAAATTCACCAAACCTTAATATGAGGCCTTCCAAATGTATAGTTGCAGAAAGTATGTAAACACTAGACATTCACAAATACATCATCGGTGGTATTATTTTACGTCAACAGCATTGGAGCAGTTATTTCTTCTCATCTTCTTTTTTTTTCAAACAGTAAACCAAAATGAGGTTCTTATGTCCAGGGAAAAGTGCATTGACCTCCCCCTCATCTTTCACCTGGAGTGCTGTCACATTTGTCAGTATTACTATGAATTCACCAAAGCCAGGGAACACCTCCACACTGCTAAGAAGACCGCGGGACTTGAAGCCAGTCTATCAGGTTTGGGGAATAAAAAATTTGGTGTGACTCATTCTATCAAACAGAAAAATATGCATGATGTGCTTCATAAACCATCAGAACATCCTAGCAATAAGGTCTTTGATCAGAATTTGCCCAGAAGATCAAAAGCCTTCAGTTCAAACTAAGACACTCCTGTGTTTTGATTTAATTAGTATCTTGGCTTGGAATTACTCTAAAATGTAACTTAAAACCAGTCATCCCTATGACTTACACATCTTATTAGAGGATTTACATTAATTAACACTTTCATTTGTTTCTTTTCCTTTTTTTCAAAAACACTGATCAAATTAGGTGCTCTGGGAAAGAGAACACGCTTCCAAGAGACAGACAAAGCACAACTATTCCTAAGGGTTCAACATCAGGAAGACTGGGAGGAATCTGCGGCTTCATCAAGAGAAGAAGACCGTGCAGTGAAAGGTCTTCCAAAGGTAGCAGACAATGGGCAATCTGAGATTTGTCAAAATTGTCACAAATGTCTGCCAATGTCAGTCCTGATTAATTTCAAGCTGGTTTCTTGAAATAAACAAGAATGTTATTTGGAATCTTTGAGGATGCTATTTTGACATGATTTTATCTGTTTTCTTGACAGGATCTCAACCTTGACGATGATACACTTCTGGATACTGTCAAATTCAAGGACTCAGATGTGGACCAAATCCCGCGGTTGACTAGTGCTGAGCAAGCCTTGATACTCGCTCTATGGTAGGTAGCTTTCTGTCTGGCAAGCTATTTGAGTGCATGAAAACATTTAATACTCTCTGACTTTTCAAGCTCGTTGGTCGAGATATCTGCAGTAGTAGGCAGAAGACCATGGGTTTGAGACCCACCTGAGCAAGCTTGAGAATTTTTCTTCACAACCTGTTGGAGAATACCAGGCATGCAACCTTTCCTCAGATCAGCTGATTTCCTCTTTTTTTCCCTATCATATCTGCCATTACAATTAAAAACACTGTACACAACTTTTGCAGTTGGGAATTTCCTCCTTTTTTCTCAATTTCCAAATTCATACAGTTCTGAAAATAAGCAAGGTCTTAAATGCATGTTTAAGACCAACCAAGCACAAATTTAGTCTTTATAAAACAGCTAGATATTATGTTAATTCCATGATCTTATTGACTAGGTGCAGTAGATCGATATTCAGTAATGATGCTCAGTATACACATATTGACAGTCCATTTCAACAAGAAAATTGTAATGATATTGTTACATTTTAGCATATTGCTTATACAATACCTAAGCGGACAAATTCCACTACAGAGAAGAGAAATTCAGCTTAATAAATTTCCTTGGCAGTACTGAACACAAGCGAAGCAGACCCAAAGAAGAGCTGTTGTGGGAGGAATTGAAGGCTTATATTGTGGTAAGTGGCAGAAAGTTGGAATGATTGTACCAATTACAAAGGCAGACCAGTCTAGAAAAGCCTGGATTATTTCCCAATTTTCTGTACAACCAGATTTTCAACCTGGCCAACAACCACACCAGATGCATTGATGTCAAGTTTATTGCCAAATGAAGTGGCATGAAAATGCAGAAATGCACAGAGATTTAATAATTCACCATCATCATACATGCAAATAATGCCAAATTAAAAGCATTGCCACTTCTTGAGAAAGTTATTAAGTATGAGCATAGATAATGTTGACATGAAAATGCATAGTAATATACCTGCCTGATTGTGAAGTGTTAGGTTCTATATTTGAACACTCCCACAAGACATAGCATAGCTTCTTAGCTTCTCAACTAGTCCTCTTGTATCCTTCACCCCCATGTTCTGGACAGGTTGCACTAACTCGGCCTAAGGTGTGGTCAGTGCAAGCCCTAGCCCTGATGACTAGATGCCAATTGGAGAAAGATCATGGAAGGACGGTGGAAAGAGCCATGATGCAGATGCAGGTGAGGTGAAATTTGACGGTCCTATTAGGGGAAAGGCAGGGTGTGACATCCTTTTGGAGACTTTGCAGTGTCAAAGTTTGACCTTTGAAAAAAATATAGTTTTCATAAGAGTAATTTTAAGGTCAAAACCTCTGCGCGAGTGAATTAAATTCTCAAATTCTTTAATTTGCTCCAGAACGCTGAACATTTCTTAAAGTGGCATCTTCAGAAATCATTTCATTGTTCGTTTAGAGCATTGCCTGCCTAGATTATGGCTTCAGATTCTCTTGCCTTGAAAAGCTGGTCCAGGTTAAAAACTACGTAGCAGTGATGAGTTGCCTAATGGTATTGCCTCTGAAAAGAATTTCGGAGAGTGTGTGCATAAATCATGGATGACAATTACAATTCCCCATCATCATAGCAAATTATTTACTATTCTGAAAAATTTACCAGCTTCGATGTTTGAAGGGCAGTATACAGGAAATGTGTAATGAAATGAGGTAAAGCTCATCCGACCTCTTCAAAAGTGCAAGATTTCTTTTCTGTTGCAAAAGATTGATAAAGCCTGACAGTCCTGAATCCTACAACTTAATTATCTTCAGATACCCTTGGAGGATAGTGTTGAACAGACCTACACCAACAGTGTTGAATATCACTAGACATCTTTTGTTTTGCTCTATCCACAGATCCACAGACACAGGTGATTTTTTTGACTCCATAAAATTTCCCAGGCTTGTCACATTAGACTATTTGCTTACTGTGGGAATCAAGTGATTCATTAGATGTTATACTGAACCATTTAATTCACAGTTACTGGTGGACCAGTTTAAGGAGTCAGAGTGCCCCGTGATTAACAGGTTGGAGTTACTGCACGCTGTGTGCCTTCCACCCAAATGGACAATGGAGGTAGGATATGTCCGGTTTTTGTTTCTCATCAAGCTGTCTTAAAACTCATCCTTTGTTGATAACAGTTTGGGGTTAATACCCACACAAAAGGTGTAGTTACATTTTTATTTACTACTCCAGGGACAAATCTTGTCCTTTAAAAAAGGGATCTCTTGTTTTGGTCATGTAGTGCAGTTATAATGTGTCAAAAACTCTTGTCTTTTTAGTCTTGATTTTGATAAATGTCTTGTTTAGGACATTATATGTTTTGATCTGTTGGAGTTCAATTGTTTTCCATAGAAAAAGAACTTATTCTAATTCTTATGTAGTTGTGAGAGTTAGAGGATAGGGTCTGTCCTAGCCTACTCTGGGTTCAGATCATTGGGCCATTTGCAGTTGTTGAGTCCTCTCTAGAATGTGGCTAATATCTCTTTCATTTACTTTTCTGGACAGGGTGAGCTGGCTAGCCTGTTAATGAGTCTTGGTGTAGTGACTGCTGCCTTAGAAGTCTATGTCAGGCTAGAAATGTGGGAGGATGTCATTAAGTGCTACCGGCTATTAGAAAAACCAGACAAGGTAATTGAAATGCACAGATTGCCCTGGTATTAATCCGTTTGTTACTGATATTTGCATTTTGGTCAAAGAAAATGAGTTTACTGACAAAGAATGAAAAGAAGTTTTGATTCAGATTTGGATATTTTGAAACCTTGCTTCCCTATAACACTCGTTGAAAATAACAAGGTAGGAGATGCTGACCTGTGGCACTGTAGTTTTGGTCATGATATTTGTGTTTACTGCGGTCATTCACCAGTTACCCTGTTGTCAGCAGTGTTCATGGTTTTCTTAGAATTACATGTTGATAGGCTGTGTCGCACTGATGTTAGGATTGAAAGGAAAAAGGTTACTCTATCTCTTAATTGTGATCCCTCCTGCCTGCCAAGGCCGTGAAGGTGATCCGTGATCAGCTGGCCATCAAGGAAACGCCAACACTCTGGTGCCTGCTGGGGGATTTCAAGAAGGACAAGCAGTATTACGAGAAGGCCTGGGAGGTGTCTGGCCAGCGGAATGCCAGGGCCATGCGATCGTTGGGCCTGCAGTACCTTGAAGAAGAAAATTGGGAGAAGAGCATCGAGTGCCTGGAGATCTCACTGCAGAAAAACCCTGTTCAGGTCAGCTTGGATTTGTTCCAGGGTTGCCTTTGGGCAGGGTGGGATTTCTAAATGCTGCTTGATCTTGGGAGGAGGGCTTAGGTTTGGAATTTCCCCGTAATTGCCCTTGATTGTCAGGCTCTACTTTGAGCTAGGTGCAGTTGTACACAGGATCATAATTTGGCAATATTCCTGATCAGTTCAACCTGTTCAGCGTAGCAACTTTGACAATGTGGTGCAAAAGAGGATGTAATGAAATGTGACAACTGGTTGATATTGTTCTTTGCAGTACCATGCCTGGTTTTGGCTAGGCTACTCAGCTACCAAGGCAAACAATCATGAAACAGCTGCCAAAGCCTACAGGAAATGTGTCACCTTGGAAAGCGATGTAAGCATGCCTCTGCTGTACTAGCTATCAGTAGTCTCTACTTTTTTGCTTCGTATTAACCAATTGTGGTTGAATTGAATGCTTTCTCTGATGAGTTTGTTCTTCAAAGAGAATTGCATAATATCCTGATCGGAGTCTTTTTTTTCAGAATGGTAAAGCATGGAATAACTTGTCATCGGCTTACATCAATCTCAAGCAAAAGTAAGTACCAGCACTTCCTTGGGCAAAAGATCATATTGTACAAAACCCAATACGCGCATTTCACATTAGTGCACCTCCAAGAGTTTGCAACGTGTTGACCAATCACAGTGCGTGAAACTTGTTGGCCCATCGAGTGTTTGGGAGGGTCAACAGATTTCGCACATTGTGATTGGTCAACGTATTGTAAACTCTTGGATGTTTGTCCCATTTTATCTTGGTGCTAATCCTTGTTCATAAAACTTACATCTTGTCAGCAATAACTCCATATTCTGCCAGCAATATAATGTGGACAATTCCCAGTACATAGGTCAACTACCCTTTTGGAGGTCTGTGCTTTAAAACGTTAGTTTATATATCAAAAAGGATATGCAGTCAAATACTTCTGGCATTATGACTAACATCATATTTTTCATTCATATCAGGAAATTGTAACCAGTTGAGCACTCTTGCTGTCATTTTGTCTGTCAATTAGACCTAGAGCTTTCAAGACTCTCCAGGAAGCCATTAGATGCCTCTACGAGAACTGGAAGATTTGGGAGAATTATATGGTGGTGAGTGAGGAATCTCATGTACTCTTAGAAAGACACGCTGTAAACCTATTTGCAGTTTAGGCATCAGTATAAAGCCAATTCAAGCAAGCACTATGGTTATTAGTGTTCTGACTAACTTCACAAGATAGTTGGGCTGCCATAGAATACTACTTGGAACCAGACCTTTGGGTACAGTTGCATTGCTGGTTCGAAGTGGCCTTTCATATAATTAAGCCCAGAAAGAGTTACATAAATGTGAAAATAATCGGCTGCAGTCTTGACTATGGGAAGAAATGGTACCACAGGAAAATGTGAATGACTGATTTTGAAAATAGTATTTCCACAAGGGTTGTTCACACAGGACTGTAAGGATTCTGTGTATGAAAAAGATATGGTACGTTTTTACATAACATGTTGGGATGACCCACTGCACATGTATAGGTTGGTGCATATACATTGTGTGGCAAATAGCATTGTGAAATTGTCAAAGTTGCTCTGCCATTGTAAGTGCATAAACACAATAAACAGGACTGAAGTAGTGCTAGAAAATATGGATGCAAAGAACTTACAAAATGAGCATAACTCACTTTTAATTGTAAAAGTGTCAGCCTTTCTTTTCTCCAAGAATCCACGAATCAAATCATAGTTTGAATTAAAGAGAAAAAGAAAGAAAAGAGTGTATAAAATTTTACCTTCAGGTGAGCGTTGATATTGGGGAGTTTGGTGAAGCAATCAAAGCTTTCCACAGGCTGATGGATTTAAGGGAGAAGTACCTGGATGAAGATGTGCTAGGAATCCTGGTAAATGCGGTTATCAGGGACATTGTTGATGCTGATGGAAATCGAGGTATATAATAAAGTTTCATTTGACGTCATCTCATTTATGACTTAAGAAAGGCTGCAGATCTGCTCAGAAAAGCGTTATTAACCACAAATGGTTCTGTTGTAGACGAGGCCTATTTTTAATTTTTCAGTGAACTCAATTGAAAGATTGTACAATAGTCATCGAAGTTAACTAACAAGGCTGTGTTTAGTGGGCACTTTGAGAAGGAGTAAGTGTGTTTGGATGTATAGCAGAGCCAGGAATGGAAGACATGTTAAAATGTAGAAGTAAGAATCTCACATGAAAAGCCTGAGCCAGTTCCATCAGCAGCCATTTGTCAACTACCAGTTTATCTTACCTGGCAGGCTATGCAGGAGCTTGATTCTGGTTACCAGGGAAAATTTTTGAAATGGACAGTTGAAAGTCTAGGTTGACCCTGGTAAAGTGGCTGTTGCCATCTTCATTGTTGTTTGGTTGGTGCTGCAATGTTTTCATAACTTGGTGTTCTTTTATTCTCAGCCGGTATTTTAAAGGGAAGATTAGTGGAGCTTTTTGGCAGGCTGACATCCCAAGTGACTACTAATGCCAGGGTGTGGAAACTCTACGCCAAACTTCACGGGAATGCCAGGACAGACAGTGCAGAACATAATGACAGGGTAAGTTTTGATTTGACTATGTCGACTGAAACGTTGAAATTCAGTTCCTTGAAGGATAGGCAAGGACTCACCCGCTTTTGAAACATTACTGCTCGACGCATGCCACGACAAGTCATCTTTCTCTGACATATGATCGTTCAAGTTCACACTTTTGGCAGAAAACCTGTGTGCCTACGTGTAAATATTTAAATTCAGATGATCATAATTAAAACATCCTGGTTGGTGTCTGTCTCCATGACCGGGATACTTTGACAATATTCCGTCTTCTTATATGAAATGGCGGCCTTCTTATTTTTCAGTTTCTTTTGGGGGTTTCTTTTTTGTCCGAAGGCATTACAATGTCTACAGAAGGCCCATCGTCTACAGACACAGAGGGGAGACTGGAGCAGTGAGATACAGTCGTGTAGAGACATCCTAGAACAGTCTGTAGAGCTGGCCCAGGGTAAGTAGACAGAAGAATTATAAGGAGCTGCATAGACTGTACAGCATGATATATTCCAAGTTTGTCAAGATTTAACCTTCAATTATGTGTCTCCAGTTTTCATAGTGAAAGTTAGGCTTTTCAAATGGCCAACCATGCACTTCTCAAAACAAACTGCCCAGAAAGAGTAAGTTCAAGGCCATTCAGCATTTACTAGAATATTATACAAAAAATGAATGTTTCTGAGTGCAGTGGTAAGAGGTGACAGATGAAATGTTCCGCTCCATGAGGCAAAGCTGAGTGGATGAAACGTTTCATCCGTCACCAACTGATATTAATCTTACCACTGCACGAATTTGAAACATTCATTATTTGATTTATATAATACTTGCTGTCAGATGAAATGATTAATACCCGAAGTGCCACCCATTGGGAGTACCGTGCAATGTAAGACTAGTTCCGGTCCCTACATTATTTTCCCCCTTCTTACTGGGAATTAAACATATCAGCTGTATATGAAATGTGGACGGGAACCAGTCAAGTTAAGTTCTATTCAACAGGTACCGTGGAATAGAACGATTAATTCAGCGATGTGATCAACAATCCACCAGATGATGGGGATTTATGTAGGTATTGTTAGTAGAGTATTCAACACGTTGTAAGAACTCAGAATATTCCAATTTCATCTCCTAGGATTAGGCCGTTAGGCATGTTATCCAGTGTAAGGTGGTGGAAAGTACCATCTCAGTGGCTGTATCCGGCATGGCTATGTTGTGGCTATGACTTCAATTTGTTACCTTGTCAAGCTACTTGGAGCATCCACGACCTCAGACAAAAGAGCTCCGTTCAAACAAAATCATTTCTAACCACCAGTGAGCGTATCGTTAACAATGTTAGTTTAACAATAAATAATAGCAAGTGTAACAAAATGAACTTGTGAGTACATGTACATGTATAACAAACACTTGATGGTTTCTTTTTCACTGTCTAGCCTACCAACACTGCAGCAGCAACAAGACCAACTCAGCTGAGGCCATCCAATTATTGTCCTCAGCCAAACTAATGCTGAAATCAGTCATCAGTAAAACTAAGGTAGGTGTGGACATCTGCAGGAGTGCAGCCTGTAGGCGCAGCACATGGTAGTGTAGGAGTATAAATGGGTACTGGATTGCAAGAGTGCCAGATGTACACTAATATTGGCTAGCTCTGTTGCCTGATTAATAGGGGTAGTGCATTGAAAAGCTGTACTGTTCGATACATCCTTTACAAGTAGTCATTTGATTGCTTGATTGTAGTCACTACATGTTCATTTTGCTCGTCTTGACAGCAACAGTATCCAGAGGATTCGCCAATCAGGAATGACCTTGCTGAACCCTTGGAAACAGCAGAGACCGAACAACAGAGGGTAGTCGATATGATTGCACAAAGAAAGGAATAGACAGTACTTGCAAAAGTTGCAGTCAAGTACTTCACAAGTACTTCACAGGTTCTTTGCTTTCTAGTAATCACAGGAACTATGATAAGAATGTAAACTGCAAGCAGGAATGTCTTTGACTTATGCATGGTGGACTTGTTCAAGGCTAGCATGGATATGATTGGCATTGTTGTAGTCGAGACCACTTAAGACTTTCACAAGACCACACAAGACCCCCAGTCTGAATTCAAGTCACAAGCTATTCAAAAGAACTGCAACAAAAGCATTCCTTTGTCATTGTTCACCCAGTTACCTGTGACTTGTCTTAATGCATGGTCTTGTGTCTGGTCTTGTGATGGTCTCGACTACAACACTGGTGATTGGGGCACTCAATGAAGACTTCAAGTAATAGTGAAGACATGTGGAGTACTTATCAAGTACTTGACCTGAAGACAGACATTGAGTGTATTCAAGCATATGATACTTATGAGAGCGGAGCATGATATGCCTGAAAGTGTAGGTACAGCAAGGATTGAAACACTACTTGGGACAAACAAAAGATCTGGAATGTCTTGATCTGTCTAGGACCTCACCAATAAGGATTCCTAACTTTTTAAAGGAAATTTTTCAAGAAAACATTATTAAGCTCACTTTTCGTATGTGCTGGGATAGCTTTATTTCCAGCCCCAATTCTAGAGTCTAGTTCTGGAGTCTAGTGGTGATTTATTTCAATTTTTTTATAACGTAACCAGATTGCATACTTTTTGTTAAATTTTCTTCTTGTTAGTCCAAGACTAAAATTTGTAAGGGTCCATTTAATAACATTAACCAGCAAAAGAGACTGGGACTATTTTAAAATTTTTGAGGGGTATACATGGCTTGTTGGTAGTATACTTATCTCTGTATACCATAAATGATTAAAACTGAGGGCATTGTATTTATCAATTTTAATGGCAGATAAGCACTACAAACAACTCTTCATTAAACACGAAATTCACAAATACAGTAGTTGTGAAAAGTATTTATTAAATGGTGAAATAGAATTATACGTAGCTACATCTGTTATAACGATAATCATCCATATACATGTAAATATCAGAATTGCTACTTTGCATAATCCATTGTTTCTGATTACAAGAAAATGAACCATGCAGGTGAGTTATGTATAGAGTATAAAGTCCGTTAACATCAGCTTTAGTAATATCGCAAGCGGCAGGCATGACATGAACAAAGTTTCACAGATACTTTCACAAACATACTTAAATTTACATTTAAATAGGATGAACAGCCCAATTTCCATAAGTAAAAACACAGAGAAATTAACACATTTATGACGAACTAGAAAATTAAAATGGCACCCACAAAACAATAACTGATTTCTGCCACAGAGAGTGAATTGATTAGAAGTAGAATTCACCATTCTGCCATAATTGCCGAGCAGACACAGGGCTTGACAAACGAAACAGAAATTTTGTTTACATTTTTTCATCCTTTTTCAATGGAATACCTTGTATCAGAGATCTTAATGCTTAAAAACATTTGGGAGGGGGTTACATAGCCTTGCATTTTCATGTGGAAAGTCGGCAGTAAGTTCTACACAAAGACAGTTTCTATTCCTCTAATGCATTTGCATCTAACTACAAAAATGACTACTGCTATGAGCGAATAAGCTTATGTAAGAAAATGTTATAAAACTGGATTTTGTCTTTGCTATTTGGTGAACTCCTCAGAGCTAATCCCCTCAATATGGATGAATTTTTCAGGGTTCTGGAAGTTCATGCCAAGTCAAACTTTAATTGAACCTCAAATAATCGCTTCCTAAAGTCTATCACTGACGGAAGTGCTTGTATTTGGGAGCACTATGAAGCTGATAAATATTGGCTCAGGATCACGAATAGTGTGCATATCAACATGCATTGGGTTCAGTGGGCAAACAGGAAGCTTCTAACAAGTTTCATTCTTCTCATCTCAGAATAATGAAACCAAACTCCAGCAGTGATGTCTGCAAACAGGTGCTTCCCTATCCCTTAATTACAAGCTCACATGATGCTACAACTTGGAAATGCCAATCACATCATGTATACTCATCAACTGGAACAGTAAAAAGTAATCCAGTATTTTATTTACCGTGACACTTTCTTGCTATTCACTTTTAACACACTAATGTTTAGAGTTTCCTTTAAAGCCTTAGTCAAATCTGAACATACCTGCATTATGCAGCAACAAATGTAAGCTGATTCAAGTGGTCCCTTAATCATGCTGCATTAGTGTTAAACACTACTCTGTGTAGGTCATGATCAGTGAACAAAATAACAATGGTCACTGCTTCATTAAGAACACTGCTTTAATAGCTTCAATTTGAGGTGAAGGAAAAATCTCTCTTTGCTTTACAAAGTGGTTCTCTGCCAGTTTACAATACACATATAAACCTTTTTAAGTCCATTGTTAATTATGTCAAGCCAGGCTTATACACTTCTTTCGAAGACATGTCCCAGGGGAAAGGGAGCCTTTTCAAAAAGCTATCATAAGCATTTCGTTTGATTTTTGAACAGAAGAACGCCAACTGAGATAATCTTGCTGTCTACTATTTGTTGAAATGGGAAACTTTGAGATGCTTGGCGGCTGTGAACATACTGGTCCTACATGTCTGGTCCACTAGTGTTTGCATCAAGCTTGAGCTAACGAGGGCATTCTCAAAATGATGCAAACAATAGTGGTCTGGTCGCGTGGAACCGGTATGCTTGCTGCACCCAAGCGTCTCAAAAGTCTTCCATTTGCATGGAGCTTACTTCTGCTTTCCACCCTATGCCCAGTTCATACTTCATGTGAAAATGAAGCAACTTTTTGTCATTAAATAGGAGCTCACTGGCATGGGGATACAGAGCAGTCCAATACACAGTGTCCTTCAGCAAAATGTTTTCACTGTAAATACTCTGCCGAGTAAAATTCACTCAGCATTTCACTTGGCAATATGACTACAGTGGGAAAACTGCACCCACCATATGAACCAGAGGGCTGGCAGTCTACCATGCAACAGGCTGGTGACCCACAACAAAATCCTCATCTTTACCACAATTATCACCCTTTGGCTACAGCTGAGATGGTGTGTGCAGAGTTTGGCCAGGTTTCCCCATGACACTGTCCAGATTCTCAAAGGGAAGGCTGGTGTCTCTTGCAACTTACGTGTACATCTTACTGAAAGGTCAAGTTTCTAATTTACATAAGTGATGTACTCCCAAGCATTTGATATTTTGTTTCTAGACACACAAAAAAGTCAAACTGCAGCATTTTCTCTTGTCAGATTATTTTTTTTACCTTGATGTTGGTGTTGACAGAGAAATAAAAACCACTTTAATCTGCATGACTATGTTGAACTCGACAGGTTTCTACAACAGTTGCTGTGCGTTGCTGGACACGGGTGAAATTCAGGCTTAGGGGCCACAATGTTTCTGAAAAAGAACTTTAGACTTGGGGAAAAACTTTATTTCGGCGATCAGCAGTCTACAATGTCAGGTCTTGGCCCTGGCCATAATCTGAGATAGGGTCATATGTGACCTGTCACAACAAAATGAGCGTAAAGTCGCTCTTCACTATTTCCTATTGTGACGATTCAAAGCCAAAAACTGACGGGGAGGTCAATATCTCCATTTACTAGACACATCCACACGAAGGACTGTCTGATTTCTACTCTAATCTGACAGACAACATCTATTGACCCTGGAGTATTTCAGCTAGGCCTAAGCCTAGTAAAAAGAGCCCAGATTTTGCGGTGTTATGTAATTTTCTTTTATTCATGAAACTGGCACAGTGCGCTGCTGACCTTGTAAAAAGAGCCCAGATTTTGCGGTGTTATGTAATTTTCTTTTATTCACGAAACTGGCACAGTGCGCTGCTGACCTGTTTTCAATAGGGGCCACATTAGTGTCCAGCGGTACTGTGTGGCTCATCACTGCGGTGGTGGAGCACTTCTGTCCCCGGAGGTAATCCGCTCGTGCTGAACGTCCCAAACCGTGGTATACTGTTTCAAAACATGGCTGCATTATCTCCACTTTTGGGAGTGAAAAAATGTTGGTAATGCCCAGCAGCCTGGTCTTTTGTTATGAGTACGGTCTTTTGTTACAAGGCCCAGTTCCCTTTGTCAGATTTTGGAGACCCCAGCCACGCATATAAAGAATAATATCACATTGTCAGCCTACTTTTACCCTAAGTGCTATACACCATTGAAAAACTCTTTTTCTGCTGAATTCCACAGTACCAATATCTCAATTTTCAAAAATTCTGACTTTCAGCTCATTTTGTGGTGACAGGCCACATATTTAAGCCTGGAATATATCTAAGCTGAAAAGCAACAATTTATTTTGTAGAGTGACCCATCACTACGCAGCAAGTTACCTTAAAGGAATCTAACCCTTTGTCTACAATGTTTTCCACACTTCTTCAGGCCTTTAACTGTCTGTGACTACAAATGACACACACATGAAGATATCCTGAGTTACCGAAGATAAATTATCACCTCTCTCCCCACCCCAAAAAAAAACTATGCTGGTGGCTTGTTGACCACCGTCCTTAAAAGTTTGTTTCCTCAGCTCATAATGAAGGAGGCTGCGGCATAGCTGACTGAGCTATCCTCCCTGGACTTGCACTGGTTGGACTGGGCATAGTTGAGGAACTTGAGGGACATGGTGCGTCCGTTCTTGGTCTTCAGAGTCTGAATGGCCTGAGGGTTGAAAGAGGGAGATGGGGAGGGGGCAGAGAGGAGAAGAAAGACAAAGAGTTAAATGGATACTTCATCTCACTTCTTGTCCAGTTTACCGATTGATGGAAACGGACGAGCTAAATAAATTTCTCCTTGGGGTGAGCAAGACAAGCTAATGGGTAGGATTGGAACCTACAATTTGCAGACTAACACACAAACTAATCCCAAACCATCGGTGATCAAATCTTTATGATAAAGAGCTCTGTTGTGAAAGTCCTGAACTTCACTCTATGATCAGATTTTATGAGCCTTTTAAGCTTTTAACTTGCTGCTTAAATAATCTGGGAGATGCTGGCTGGGCACTATGGAAAAAAATCATTTCTGGCTGCTTTTCATCACTACGGTCACTTGTGATGCCGTGCAACTCTGCATGGACATTGACTGCAAGAAAGCTGGACCACTACTTCACAGTCCAATGAATCAGAGATTTGTTAAAAAAAATTGGAAAACTAAACTTTTAACAATTTGCTCCCGGGGAAACCCTGTTTCGTGCACCATGGGTTATACGCAGAGCTGGGGTGCTCCAAATAGGACAAAAGTCCTGCTGCTGGATTTGCCATCATTTTTGGCTTGCATTTTTCGAAGGTAACACGTCACTGTTTTTAAACAGTATACTACTGTTTTGTGCATAGCGCGCCCGCGGATTAGCACCGCGGACAAAAGTGTTCCAGGCCCCAGTTGATGGGTGACACAGCACCGCTGCATGCTAATCCAGCCGCGTTTGAAAAGACACCACTCGCATTCACTGGGGAACAAAGGAAATCATGCAACACCTCACAATTCTGGGCTCTCTTTATGAGGTGGCAGACCTGGCTGAAATACTCGGGAGTCAATGAAGGTTGCCTGTCGGCTTAGAGTAGCCAACAGTCATTTGTGTGGGCGTAAACATCCATTAAATGAAATGATGAATTCTTGAAGAATTTTGCAAACTGAAAATCTTGAAAATCTCCCGTATGTGTGCCCTGCATTTTAAAAAGTACCCGGCAGCAAGTGGTTAAAGTACTTCATATTCTGATTCAAAGTATTTTGAAGGGTTTTCATAGCATGACCACTGCATCTTATAAAAAAACCTCACCCAATGCAGTAAAGGACATGCATGTAGACTGCTGATGAACAAATGGCGGAATGCAGGTGGAAATGTTGTCGTGATCTAAGCTGCACCTGCAGAATGTTACCACTTTTCAAAACATGTATATTAACTTACATTTAATAGGACCGCTATAGGGTGTCTGCCACATATGGTGTTGCCATATTTCTTAAGGTAGCTACGGAAGCCGACAGGATCCAGGCTCTCTATGTATTGCATTCCCTTGTGGACAAAATAAAAATAAAAATTGCTGAGTGTCTGTTATGTACCTGTTATACCATATAATTTAGTTTCAATATTAAAATAGTCTTACTTTAAAATGAAAGCAGAGAACAGTTTACAAATGTCTACATGCTCACTTTCAAAGGTTATTTTAAAAAGTAATGGGTGAAAACAAAATGCTTATGCTTTTGAATCGCAGACGAAAGGGAGCTTTCTGATAATGCTCAATGGTATGTCAGTTGGTTATGGGTACTGGAAAATCTGGAGGAATCCTGTCAAATATGTGCCTATGTTGAAAGAATTCGTGCCTGTGCACTTAGTAACTGTATATAAATTACTGTCATTTCCAGAATATACGCAGCCCGGTGTATAAGCCGCAGCATGCGAAAATCACCAAATAAAGATTTAAAGCCAGCTTATAAGCCGCACTGCAGCGCTGAGGATCAAACCATGATGGTCATCGTGCTTTGTGCTGAAGCACTAATACAGCATATACAGTACGTAAATGGTTGCACTACACGTGCAATCCTACTAAAAGTATAAAGCAAAATGCGAATGAGTGCTACCATAAAAAGTGAATTTTATGTCCTCAAATTTCATAATTTTTGCAGGTTGAATGTTTGTCCTGTGCGGGCTGTGCATCAGCTCTTGCCCTTTATTCCAGCGGCCAGCAAAAGTTATGCAGTCGGGAATGTACAATAAAATCTTGATAACTCGACGTCAGTTATTCCAAAGCTCGTTTTTATCTCGTAAGACCACTATTTCTTTCCAAAAGAATAGGCATTTAAGTACAAAAAAATACCCCTGTAACTGTCCACAACACTACATCTGGTTGTCTCGAGGTTTTTGTGACGCCGATAAAAACAAAACACTGCCTCATCACTTCAAAAAGGAAAAATCTGCTGCAAGACCTTTGAGTCATCACTTTGGAACTGCTTGTGTTGCATGCATGCCGCACGCGGCACACGAGCTGCACGCAGTCAAACCCTGTTTTCCGACTAGCCTGACTACTACCACAGACTCATTTATGGACAGTCCAATCATTGACTCTTTCCGTTAACCACGTGATCACAGAAAGTGTTGTCATTAGAAAACCCAAATGGAAAAAAAAAAAGAAATTCTGTGGCATGTCATGTTGAACACGATCACTGAAAAGACAAAAGATCTGCCCCACGAAGGTACACCACTGAAGGGGTTGATTTTTATTTAACCCCTTGACGACGGGAATTTCTTTCCGAAAACTAACTCCAAGAATTCCAGCCTCGCTTAGCCACGAAGGCAACCTGCCAAATCACAAATTCTCGAGGAGGTTCTTTTCCCCAGTAAATGGAGGCCCAGACGAAATTTCAGGTGGGGATTTATTCAGGTGAGCAGGGATTTAGTCTGGTGTCGTGTAAAACACATTACGAACAAGTGACATTCATGCCCAGCGGTGTGCCATTTCCTCCATGAAGCATAGTACTGGACAGTAATAGCTGTACACATGGCAGATTAAGGTTTCGACTCACAATGACATATTAAGGTTTCTACTCACAATGACTGTGCGTAAATGATAAAACTCACCATTCTATCCAGAGACTCAATGGATTTGTGAATTGGACACTGACGTTCATGTATGTCCACGTAGTTGAATCTCTGACCTGTAGGGAGACACAAGGCAAACATTCCATGTTATGGATGTCATGAAGAACAAAATATCATGTCAGTTACAAACATCCAGACAGTCATAACATTGTGAAAGAAACAACTTGATATCTCAGACAATTTCTAGTCATTTCAATGGTTGCATACACAAAGTTTTTCCAACGCGCAGTTTTTGTTTGTTTAAGGCTAAGTTCACTGACCAGTCAATGCTAACCAACCAGGACCTACTGACACGTCATTGATGACAACACGATCTTATCCTCACCAATCAACTGTATCATTTTGTTTCACGTGTTCAAACATGGTTCAACCTGATTGGTCAAAATGCGTTGTCGGGCAATGCTGAGGTCCCGTCTTACCACGACTTCATCGCAGGTAAAATCACCAGTAACAGGGCAGAAACAGTGACAGATGAGTAGTTTTTTGCTAAAGTTCATTTAAAAAGCTGGTGACACATTGGAGACTGGATGACATGTGAGCGACTCTTCACGACTTGGTAGACTTGGCAAAACACTACCAACAGACTGTAGGTTATACACAGCAAAAATCTGGAGAAAAAAAAAAGAAGGGCTCACCCCAGTGACAGAAATCGGACGAAATGACGAAGAGGTTCTCAGGGTCAGCCAGGTACTTGCTGAACAGCCGACCGTACATCTGCTCTCCCTCTGCCATCAATGAGCCTACCAGGACAGGCACTATGGTGAACTGACCCTGTTTACTGTGGTTGGTGGAAGATAAAAATCACATCACACTACAAGGTTTAACCGCGGGGTCATATCATTGTCAGCGCAGCAGTCACGTCCTTTCCTTGGTTCCACAAATAAACTAAAATGTAAAAGCAGGTAGTAGGAACGAGGCTCAAGTGCAAGTACCAAGGAAACGGTGTTGGCCAAGCTACTTCTAAGGGAATACAACTGTTCTGACACACAAAAGATATGGATAAGCTAGAAATGTACTAAGTTAAGGCAAAAGGAGTCAGACATGATTTCTGATGAAAATATCCGATATTCTCTGCATATTACTTGCAAAAAACCTTAGATTATTTTTCTCATATTCAACAGCCAAGAACTTTGAATATGTCTACTTTTTCAAGTGTCATTTCTACCATACCATCTAATTTGTGGGCATTACGATACTGTTTGCTTAGTTTACAGCAAATTCAGACAGCCAAATTGCAGATGCTGATTGAAAACTCTTCCAATCCTCACCCCGCAGGCTGTCTGACTCAACAGTACCAGGTTTGGTACATTTTCATCTCTCCGTTCTCCCTACAAATAAAGCACTGCTTTCACACCCACATGTGGCAAGCCCCCCTTGGATGCTATTAGTAAAAGAGACTGTCTGGAGCTCATGTGGTTTTGGGTGGTATATCTCTCCGGGTTCTTTGCCACAAACAACAGAGAAAACTCAATTACCCTAGATGGGATGCTCATCTGTAGCAGGTTACTCCCCGACCGATGCTGGTACGAGGTATGTATCTACACATATACTCCTGGAGAAAGTAAGGCAAGTACAAGTGAAGTGGCCGTACATCACCTACCTCTGCATTGCCTTGGCGATGAAAGGCAACTGCATTTCTATACTGTGTTCGTCCTCGTCAGTTTGGATCTTCATGACTTCAAAGGGACCGTCCCGACACAGTTCTTCACACACTGATAGAGAATGCAGAAAGCCAATATTTATTGTGTTGGCAATTTTTTTTTTCTGCCAGGAGCCTTCCCGAGTCCTCAAAGATTTCCCGACACAGTGAAAAAGCCTGTTGTGCATGCACATGCCAGAGCACACTGTACGTGAAGACAGACAGAAAATCTTACAAACTTTCACATTGACGAATGTCTAACCTTGGGTATCTACAATGAGGTTGTATAACGGTGTCTCGTATATTTTACATCGTGTGACAGCACAGCCAGGGAGATACATATGATGTGATGGTCCAAGTATGAAGACACGCTTTCTGCACAAAGACAAAAAAAAGAAAAACCCCACATAAAATATTGGTGTATTATGGGTACCTGTGATGATTCAAAGGGATTTCACAACAAAGTGGCATCCAAATTACGCGATCCTTGAATCCCCCCCCCAACTTCTCTAGTTAATTAGAACCAAGATTTCTCGTTATGAAGAATACATCGATTGACTGGTGTCTGTTCCTTAGCTACTTTACAATAATAAACACCTTGGCATACATATAAACATGTTTTTTAAGTACATTTTTAATTTTTCTTTAATTGGCACTGGCTAAGAAATATTCTGATCAAACAAATTGTATGCAACAAGTTTTTATCCAATTATACCATGTTAACAGTTTCTGGTGTATCAAAGCTGGTTCCACCAAGTAGAGAATGTGAAAAAAGTACAGTAATTTCATGTACAACTTATTAAAAAGCAAAACTAATGCTCTGCATGTGTACTTTATGGATGACCCAAATTCCATGGGTAAGTTTAAACAAAAAGCAGCATAAGACTTTAAATGGTCCAACTGTTAGAGATGGAGGGTTTTGGAGGATTTTGGAGGATTCAGGATGACTGGTGAATGAAGTACTAAAAATCAGTCACATAGTGGTGTATATGGTCACACATTATACTGTTTACAATACATGTACCCAAGGACAGTGTGCTCCAGAGTTCACTGCTGCTGGTCATAAATTACACAATCCTCAACTGCAGTGTGTTAAAACAAAGACACATGTCTCCTTTGTTTATGACAAAAGTAAAGCCGTTAGCCAACTCTGCAAAAAACAGCTTCAGCCCAGCAACCAACCTGATGTGCCCAACCCTCCCGTCCCTCAAAAAACAAAAAAAAAAGACCAAAAACAAAACTCAAAGTAGGGCCACAGAGGATTTTGGAGAATTGAAGATTCAGGTACCTTTCATTTGTGCACAAGCCAAATAAAGGTACGATTTTGGAGAATAGAGGATGAATGAAGTTTTTGAAGTTGGACCATTTGGAGGATTGAGGATGTGCCCTGGTAAAATGACCCAAGTGGGTTAGGGTTAATACCAGAAAGCACATTTGTACTTACATGTTGGTTGGATCAATTTGTTTATAGGCGTGGGCTCCACATGCTCCACAATATGAGTATCCTGCATGACTAGAAACAAACGAAGAAATTACTTGCCCAAACCAGTCATGTTAGTTGAATGAAAATCAGAAGCATTATGCATGTGGCACTTTTGGATTTGGGAATCCAGAGAATTTAGACAATTAATTCCACAGCAATGACTTGTTAGTTACACCCCATGTTCTAGGCAAACTTTTATCCACATGACATCATATTTTTCAGCATACTCAATGACCTCATAACGGTAAATGTTACTTGGCTACTGGGCAGAATTTGGCAACTTGGAAAAGCTGCGCTGAACATGAAAATGAAAGAAAAAAAATTTCAAAATGATACATTACTAGAATGCCACAGCAAGCAAGGTATGATACAAATGACCGGTACAGTGTAATTCTAGAATTTGACAGAAATCATTGACCGTCAGTGTGAAGGAAGTATCCACAGGCAGCTCTGGAGGACAGACAACAAAATGGCAACTCCATTCCCTGGGTTCATTCCATAAAGCTGTCAAACACAGGAATTAGCCAGGTGCAGAGAATATTTGCTGAATCAAAGCAGAGCAGATTACCAGTTCAAATACCATGCGTTGTACAATTCCAGTGACTGGTTCTCGGCCAAAGTGTGCTGAGCCAAATTTTCTGTTCAGCAAGCAGCTCTATAAAATGAGCCCAGAGAGACCCTGCAGGCCAGGCAATAATGTTGCCCCTTTTTGTCCGATGTCAATGGGGCATGCCCGTTGGCTATCCAGCATGATCAAATGCAAAAAGGGCACCATTTATGATTAAAAACTGCTCGAACTGGGCTGCTTTTAAAGGCTTGGTAGTTGTTTTTGTGTCTTGGTTGGAGTGACATCACTGCATGCCACTGACTTTGCTCTCTTCTCATTTCCACTTGTAATCCGTCATTTTGTCACTTGCTGTCGTACATTTCTCTTATTTTATCTTCTACACGATTTCATGAAACTTGGTGTTTGCCCATGGCTTTTTTCTCATTGCAACCAAACTTGGGAACATTCAGCTGTGCCAACAAGACAAGACTGAGACTACTTACGGAGCAATGATTGCCCTTGCTGGGGAATGCTTTGATGACGCTGCACTGCTCAACCACTCATTTAGCTTCATCGACAAAACTTGTTCTGTGATTTAGGATAACAATAACTTAACAATGACAAAAACTGGCAATTGTTTAGCACTCAATGACATGTGTTGCTTATACAATCCTGTCAGTTTCAATGTTTTGTTTGATTGGCTGATGGGGTCTTATTGTACTTGTATTTATAATCAAGACTAATTTCTGTGATTTAAAAGCCACATATCAAAACAGCTGCAATGTCTGTGTTTATGTTCACAAAGATGGTCAGGGTTATATTTCTGAAAGGCAAGGCCAAGGACAAATATTGTTATTTTTTGAGTAAGCCTTGTGCAGTTAACATTTTGCCCTGAACAAGTAGCAAATTTGCCCCCTACCTGCCCCCCCCCCCAAATTATGCGAGCAATAACTTATGTCACTTTCTTGTCTGATCACTAGACCTACCTGAAATACCAAAATGCAAATTAAACATTTACAGTTTGATTTCAAGGGAGATGCTGCCTGCATTGCGCACTACAAACTGTTGAAGTACAATGTAAGGAAGGAGTCGGAGTATTCTTGTTTTTCTCTGAAAAGTGGTACAATTTCTGTTTTAAGTGCTACTGTGAACTGGGGTATATCTCTTGATCACTAATAACAAAATAATGAACAAGAAACATCAGAAAGATAAGAGTGTCCTCTTTAAAACCAAATATGCCATTAATACTGTATTGCCAGTTGACATTCTATTTAAAATGGACATGATGCATGATTAGGTGCATGATTAAATCCCAGTGATGTGCTCCATTCTTTCAAAAATTTGCCAAAACATCGGAATGAAGTCCTCTGCTACTTTCCAGCCTGTGCACAAACCACTATGAGATAGATTGGTCTGAAATGTTGGAAGTGTTTTCTACATGGATATCTCAGAAAGAGTTCCATATCACTTGACGCCCAGTGCACAGTTGACAAATCTATGGGACTGGCCTGAAAAAAGTATTTTCTAACTTGAGGCTTCAATATTTTCCTTGCTAAATTTGACTTTTTAGGATGTTATCACTTCCTGATTGTTAGTAAACCACTGAAAATTAGTGATATCCATGTATATTAAACTCTTACCGGATATCTAAATATTTTCACAACTACTAAATTTGACTTTTTGGGACATTTACTGCTTTCAATCTTTCCAGGAAAATAGAATTTTTCTGAAAGACTAGGTCTGTGCACAGGGTGTCATGCCACGTCCGTAGATGGAATTCTATCCCAAATAATTATTTTTTAACTGTTTAACAATGCCGACAAAATTAAATTCCTTCAAAATCTAGTGCAACCAACAAAGGAAAATGTGAACGGTGGCCTTGACACCAAATGACCCGAATCGCTTAATCTGCGATCGTGAACGTAGCCTAACGTTAGGTCTGGAAGTACGAGGTGAAACACAAGAGTTTTATCTCAAAAATTCCATCATGTTCAAACCTGAGCTGCTGTACCAGGACCCAGCATGGCTTGCACGTCTTACAGACATTCTCGAACCTATCTTGGACAGTTTTTGAGCGATTTTTACAGTCGCCGAAAATATGCCTCCTTTCTTGAGTGTTCCTTGTGTTGTGAGTTTTCCTTCGGCCGCAGCTGATATGATAATGATGAAGTTAACCGCAGACAGCTGATCAGCGCATGCCCGGCTCGTTTTGACGTCAACAGAGGGCGCTTTGCAGACCTGCATTAAAAATTACTCGTAACCAAAGATTACATAGCGCCGCTATACGATCTTTGCTCGTAACCGTGCTAGACTGCTCAGATGCATCCCATTTGACAAGTAGTTACTCTTTTTCTGGAACTAGAACGTGCCTTCTGATCGCCAGTTTGACTCTCAATATATAGTTTATCATCAACAGCTTTAAGATTTTCTTCCCTTTGGAGACCCTGTGACAGACTTATCATTCACCATGAAATTAACGGAGACAACATTCATATCCGCGCATGTCCAAATCAATAATTAATCTCAACAACAGTACATTCCAGATCTGATGCAGATTGAACAAAATGATTTTAAAAACCATATGTATGTAAACTTTGTCAACTGGTGTTTCTTTTTATACATCACGGCAAAAGTAACAGAGCTCTCAATGAAAAACAGTATTTTCAAACACCCTTCAGGAAATAAGGATACCATTGGCTTTCATATAAAACCCTGATTTTTTAAAATCTGATTTATTTTCAAATCCTATTTCTGAGCAAACCAAACATTTATGTCAATTCTGAAACTTCACGTCAAAATGACTAATGTGGAAAATATGAGCTACTTCAAGGACAACATATTCACCTTCGTAATGAATTTGCTAAGGTCCTTGGATTTTTTCCTGCGCATAGTACATTGCACAATCAGCAATGAAGTCTACTATCAAGCAAAAATTGTCCACTGTGGCTCAGAACATATAACATATCAGCCTTTTGGGAAAAAATTACAATAAAACATAAACACCTTTTCAACTCATTTGAAAAAGTTTGCAGCAACATTTCATGACAGTCCAGTTAACCAGAAGCATTTCATTCCATTTCCACCCTTTGAGGCAGTTATCAACAGAAATTTCTTTAAAGTATGGACAGAATAAATGGTCTGGTACCTTAAAACAAGGCAGCAAAATGGGCTGAAAAAAGGAAAAGCTAGAATGCACTTCACTTTAGGTAGTACGTTTTAATAGTGATTATGAGAGAAATAAAGGTAGCTGCCAGAAACAAGGTGTCAATTACTTCCCCAGCCATTAAGTTGATAATTGAGGTTCTCCAATGCCACAACACTTATTTTTCAAATAGACCTTACTTTGTCATCTTATATACCCTGGACATCAAGCGAATGAATAGCAATGGCACATCAAAGGGGTGGGTGGTACTGGAAAGCACACCCCCCCAATAGTGATGAAAAATGTGCAGTAATATTTCCATTCTAATTCTAAAATTTGCCATCCCTCCATTGAAAAGGCTTTTGGATAATTAATAAATGTTTCCCTCTTCAATTTTCAAATAAGCCAATACCACACCCAAAACCTGATACAGTTGTGGAGGATAACAAAGAAGAAGCTCAAAGCATTATGGGAAATATTCTAAGACCGTTTATATATCACTAGTCAAAAGGTCTACACAGCTCATATCCCCAAAACAACACTTTGGGTGGAATTTCCCCATCCAAAAATATACAATATCTCAAGTGGATTGAATTTGCAAGGAATTAAAACTGGGAAACGTTTGGACAACAGCTCAGTCATGCTAAGGTAGTAACTAATCAATCCCATTGTCAGCCTTGCATGGCAAACATTATTCATGCGAAACTGGTGACATTTTCATGGCCATTCTCAGTTTGGGCAAACTGGCTCACACCAAAATCCTCATAGGCCTCTGTCTATTTGCACCCTCAGTTTCACTAAATATTCATAGTAAAAACGAAAGAAGACATACCTAACACTGCATAACTCATCCCAAGAAAAAAAACACATATCATATTGCAGGTGTGGACAGTTTCTGTAAAAGATCTGGTCCCCCTCCCCCCAGAAAGTTCCCCAAATACACTCAGGCTTAGAATCAGTTTCATGACACGAATTTATCTCAATCACACTCATTTTGAAAATCTATAGACTCCATGCATCAGAACAACTGCAATGGTACACTTCAGAATAACCACAGATAAATCTCACTTCGCTTGCCCTTCGACCACTTCGTCTAAGTTGTTATTTCCTTGAATTTTCCTCTCCATTTTTTTTAATAGATAAACCTGCCACGAAATTTGTTTCCAAAGAAAGTAGGCGCTTCTGATAAGAGTGGATTGTTTCAGTGATGTAACACTCTTCTACATACTAAGCACAGGAACGTGCCACAGAGGACAGAATTGGAGAAAAAACTGACAATTGTGCACATGTTGTTTGTGATGACGCAAAATGTAAATTTGTGTACAAACAGTGTGTGCCATAATGTGGTCTGCACAAATTTCAGAAAAAAAAATGTATACTGTTTCTGTGTGAAGATGACAAAACTGATCAGCGCTAAGTCAGACAAGAAACCCTTCCGTTTTGAAGAAATAATTGTTTTGTACAGTGTGAAGTGGAATGGCTCCGTGCTTCACATGGGAATAAATGCAAGCATGTGGTTCATAAACAGAGCACACTATCATGCAGGTTCTGTCTAGTTTAACTAAATGTCATCTAAATAATCCACTCAAGGATAGGTGGGTGGTTGGTTCCAGGAAATGTAGAATGTTTCGGGATTTTCAGAAATATTATTTGGGAACAAGATCCCTGATTGTCTAATCATTTTTCTCTGCATAGAAACCATCAAATAAAACGGAACAAAAGATGATTCAATGTGAAATTACAAATCTCCACCACTACAAATAAATAGAAAAAGAATGGAGATCCATAAATCTTAAGAGTATCAAGACAGGCTGAATTCCTCCTATATATAAGGCCCTAAACATTCAAACTGGATCTACAGACTTATTCCAGATACTCAAGACTGTTGGCAATGAAGTGAGTCTAAATGTCAAGTAGTAACTTTTGCTACCTTTGCAACATGTTTGCCTAAATGCTAGTGCGAGATAAATACTGATAACATATATATTGGCATCCTCCTGCTTCCCACCCAGAGCCTGAGACGAATTGAGGAAAAATTTCCACGGAGCAATGACGAATAGAGTTTTGCTAAGCACAGAAATGTCTCGCTGAACAGTGAGGCCTAGGACATGAACTGATTCTTTGCACTGCATGCAAGTTTGCCTCGTTGTGCTTCTCCTGAAGCTCTGTAAAACTGGGCCAAGGGGAGTTGTGGGGGAGAGCCGGTGGTCAGCACTACTCAATAACTAGCTATGGACTGTGACTAACTAGGGCTATTTTTGTTTTCAAATTCTGGCTTTGTCTCAGGCTTCTGTGTCATCTCAAAATCCAGGGCCACATTTCCAACATTTACTTGATGTAGCCAACTGAAAACACTACAAAATTTGGTTTCGTAGGACAAAGTTTGATGTTTCTGTGGTGGAAAGTGGAACTGCGTTGACCTGAGGGATCTCAGATCTGCATGCTGGATCCAGGAAACTGACACCTAAAGCCTAAGACAGAGATGAAGTAAAGATTGTGGAAATTCCCCAAGGTGTTGGTGCTTCTCCCCTAGAGGTCAAGAAGGAGGATTCGGGGGTCTTCCACAGCTGACTTGATCTTCTTCAGGAAGGTCACTGCCTCTCTGCCGTCAATTAGTCTGTGGTCATAGGTTAGGGCCACATACATCATGGGTCGAATTTCCACCTGTGGGAATAGACCATGACAGAGCAAGTGAAAGTAGTTAAAAAGATCATGACAAGCAACAGTCACATCTCTAAACACTTCTTCCACAGAGTGACAGTCTCCTGGTTTAACTGTAATAAACCTTTTGCGAGTTAAATTTGAATAGAATCTGGTACACTGAGTTCTTTAAATTCATGTGAGCATAACAATTTGAATTCCCTATACTAAAAACAATGTTGCTATAAGTTGTGATTTGGGGCAAGCTTTTGCTTAGCTACATAAGAGATGCCTTGGAACAATACACTGTTCTCAATGGATAAGAAGGGCACAAAGGAACCAGTCCATTACACAGATGTGGTCGCTATGCAAAATTTTGCCCCGAATCCCAAGGAATAGCAGCAGTGTCTTTAGTCTGGGGAATTCAAATTGCTATATTTATGTGCAATCTCATAACTCAGTGTATCAGATTTTATTCATATTTAACTCGCAAATGACTTATTAGAAATGGATAGAGACTGCAAGTTGTGAGGTTTCTTTTTCCAAAGTGCCTCCACAGTTTAGCAATATGTTTAAAACTAATCTTACCCCCCTGACACCCCAACCACAGAATCTCCCTCGTCCCAATCTTCCCAAGATTGCTGAATCCAATATTCTTTAATTCAAGCATTCCTGTTTGGATATGCTGTTCATGAAAAATGCTTCTCATTAGGGTAATGAGGAGCCAACCAGAAAAGCGCGACTTAGCCCTACCTTCCCATTGATTGCAACTGGCCTATCTACAGTAGCGTGCATCCCTAAGATTGCTGACTGCGGAGGATTGATGATAGGGGTGCCAAACATGGAGCCAAACACACCACCATTACTGATGGTAAAGGTCCCTCCGTCCATGTCTTCAACAGCTAGGGCACCTGTTCGAGCCTGGACAGTGCAAACACAAGCAATGCACATAATTATCAGTGATGCTAACTTAAGCTGTAAAGGACCTCAAAAACCCAAGGTTTGTTAACCACTTCGCGCCAGGGGAACCCGGTATCGGGTTCCTTACATTTATATGCATAGCTGGGGAGCCTGAAATCGGACAAAGGAGCCGGGTCTTGTAACAAAAGACCACACTCTGAACTAAGAGGGAGCTGCTGGGACTTGAAGAACATTTTTTCAGTTGTCAATAGTGGAGGTAATCCGTCCTTTTTTTTGAAACACTATACCACTATTTGTGGCATTCAAAACGAAGGATTATAACCACGGACGAAAGATCTCCAGCGCTGCAGTGCTGAGCAAAACAATACAGCTGCACACCAATCTGGCCCCGTTGAAAATGACGCCAGCAGGAACTGCTCCGGTTTCAAGAACAAAGCATTGTGTCAGTGCAACAAGGTTGTAACTTCCATTTGTTTTGTACACGATATACAACCTTGTTACACTGATGTGACGAAAAGAAAATTACGCAACACTGCACAATCTGGGCTCTCTTTACAAGGCAGCAGGCCTGGCTGAAATACATGGGCGTCAATAGATGTTGCCTGTCAGATTAGAGTAGCCACCAGACAGTCATTTGTGTGGGTGTAAACGTCCAGTAAATGAAGTAATGAATTTTTGAGGAATTTCGAAAATGGAAAAGGATGAAAAATTGCCCGCCAGCGCATCCTGCATGTGCAAAACTCCAGCTTTTTCTGTGGGTTTTTTCTTTCAAAATTGATTATGAATTTTGATGAATTTTCAAAAATTCTTCCACGTAAAAATATGTAATTTTTATAGTGGCTAATGTTTTGGGGGGATATTTAAGGATTTTGTGCCGGTCGGTGGGCTGTTTCATCAAGTTTAGTACCGCACAGTAGAATGCTGTGGTGGAGATCCCTGACCGGCGCTGACCAACGTAGCTATAATACTGGGTACCGATATTAGCTGGGGAGTGACCTACAATATACTGACATCCCGCCAAGGGGGAAATAGATCTATTCTCAGCTGTTTCATACCAAGGAATCTGGAGATAAACACAGGCCTGATGAGCCAAATGGCTTCAGACAGACTTGCTTACAAGCTGATCACGATGCAGTTTCTAGATCTATGTATTGTGTACACGCTAACACCCTTTCGTTACTTTTGATATCAGGCTTCAATATCAAATTTGTTTTGTATTTCAGTGTGATTAAAAAGTAATATCTCAAAGTAATATCAAATGAGTAGTATTTTCATATATCATGAGACCCTAACTCTAACACCAATGCTGACGGGAGAGTTGACCTCAAAAACATGGCTTTGAATTTACAGTCATGGGCAGTGTTTGTTAACCACTTGCTACCAGGTTCAATTAAAATGGCTGTGCACAAAAACAGGCATTTATCAAGCCTGAAATATGATTTTTCATTTTCGAAATTCTTCAAAAATTCATAACTTCATTTTCATACTGGATGCATACACTCACACAAATGACTGTCTGGTGGCTGCTCTAATCTGACAGGCAACCTCCAATTACGCCTGATTAGTGCAGCCATGCCTGCCGCCTAGTAAAGAGAGCCCACATTGGGTGGTGTTGCGTAATTTCTTTTGTTCCGGAATTGACCTAGTGCTTTGCTGGATGGCGGTGTTTTCTTAACTAATGCAGCCAGATTCCACGAGCGTGCAGCAGTATTGTGTCGCTTATTGCTGGAGTGCTGGGGGGCTTTTGTACCCGCTGATAATTCACTGGTGCTGGCAGTGGCAAACAATGGTGCTGTTTCAAAACACTGATGGATTACCTCCGCTTATTCCAGCACTCTGTGCTGACAGCATATGACCCTTGATTGGCAAGTCCCAGCAGCTCGGTATTTTGTCAGGAGTTTGGTCTTTTGTTACAAGGCCCAGTTCCTTAGTTCCGATTTTGGGCACCTCGGCCATGAATCACGGCACTGTGTCTCCGGTACTGGGCTCCCTAGTGGCAAGTGGTTAAGCGGGCCCCTAGACCCACGACCATGACCTGTGAGACTCTGGTCGTGAAGCCATGACTAAATTGTTCTGTGCTCCAATGTGGCTGGCTATAACATTGTCAGTACCCATTTGTACACTCCTGGGTGGAGGGAGGTGAGCAGAGATTAAGTGGCTTGCCTATGGCCAAAATTTATAGCCAGCAGCCGGATTTGAGTGCCTGACATTCTGGCCATGAGTCACAAACCTTAAACCTTTTGGACACCCAACTTGTAGACATCAATGTTTCATGAAACTTTCTTAAATGAAGCTACGATGTCTGATTTTGCCACATACTAGGTTTCTATGGAATGTATTCACATTTTGAGGTGACACTGTGCATACTAACAAAAACTGCCAATCAACATGCAATAACCTCAGATGCCACTGGCTGGGACTTTTGGGATATAAAATCAGGAGGAATTAGCATTATGAGAACAATGATGAATTCAACTTGGAACACTTTTTCTGGGTACCACTTTGAAAGAGCAGGAACTATGAACTTGGTGCTCCCCACAACCATAAGCCACAAGCCATTAAACACATGACAGACCTAAACGGCTGTGACTACAGTCCTTCTATGACTCACCTTTTCACCAAGTTCATTCAAAGCTTTCTCAATGTCAGCGTAGTTCATGCCACCAACATCGCGTAGCACCGGAACCACAAGCCCCTGGGAATTCAAAACTTTGAAATTGTGACCCTTTGTTTGAAGCTATCTTTTAAAAAGAAATTGCACAACACAAGGCCAGAATTCCACACATCACAATGTGAATTAAGTCTAAAATTTCCTTTCAAGAGAAATTGCACAATGTGAAAGTTGAAATTCAAAAAGTAAAACTGTCATCTGTACTTGAAGTCACCCTGACAGAAATTGCCTAAACCCTCTCCCAAAGAAGGAAGGGAATGGCATTGAGGGCCAGCATGACAATAAACCACAAGCAAAAAAATACCTACTTTTGGAAGAAGATGTCGAAGTCAATGTGAACTTTAACTTGACACTTTGACCATGTTGCTTAAATTGGCATACAGAAATCTTGATCCTTGACCTTTAACCTGGGCTCTGTCTTACCTTTGGTGTTGCAACAGCCACACTGATATCAATGTAATCTCGATACACAATGTCAGTATCATCAATTACTGTAACAGAATCAAAACCAAACAGTCATCCAAAGTGTACCGGTCAGGCTAACTGTAGAGTTTCACATTTTCATGAAAGGACAAACCTCCTTTAAAGGACTTGTTTGGCAAAGGACATGCTTACAACTTTCCGGAATACCTAAACTGACTAGAACACACTCCACTTTAGTTAATCACTTCGGCCAGCAGACTTCATTACTACCCTTTATGTTTACACTTTTTAGTTATCAGCTCTCTCAAACTGTTGCTTTTTGAAGTTTTTGTAAGTCTTACTGCCAAAATATTTCAGAGAAAAACAACTGCTTGAAGCTTGACTTTTCAGACTTTCTACATGAAGCTATTCTTTTTACAAGAGCTCCAGTGATAATTTAACCGTCTTTTATCTAATAACCTTGGTCACAAACTTCCAACAGCAATCAGGAATTTCCCCAGGTATGTCATCATCAAACAACTACTATCTTAGACCAAGCCATAAATAATCAGTCAGTCTTCTATTGCTTATAATTCCCAAGTGATTACCATACCATTAGAAACTGCTCAAAAGTAGGTGTCTAGCTTGGTTTTGTTTTCTCACTATGAAAGCATGTTTTTGTCCTGTTTATATCAAACTACTATACTAAGCAATGGAACACTAATGGGGAAATAGTCAATGTGGGAATACTATTAATTCTCAATGTTGCTGTCATCTTTTGTAACTTGTCCATTTTAAACATTTTGCAGTCTGCCATTCTATTTCAGTTCCAGTCTTAATTCTGCTCTTATTTTCTTCCTGATACATCCCCCCCGCTATACTTCTGCCCAAGAAATCATACAGATTTGATAGATTCTGGCAGTAAGCCAACATAGTAGGGGACCAAGTGGTGAAATAAGAAATCTGACAAACTGACCTGCATTGACCTCTGGCATATTAGTCAGAGCATGTGCTGATGCCTTGATAAATGCTGACATAAATCCGAGTTTGATGTTGTGCTTCTTCAGGAATTCTTCCCTATGCTGTTTGCGCATCTCTATGATGTTGCTGTTCAGATAAAGGTATATATTACAAGTCAGTATTCACAAAATGGAAATATGACATGGTGGAGGAGAGTTAAGGATTGATTTCAAGGACTGCAGTAAAACAAAGGCATTCCAAAGGGCAACTTGACCTCTGTGATTCACTGCAAACATTCATGTCTCAAACATGAGGACCGTGCCGTTCCCTAATTCAGCTGATGCCTTTCAGCTCACCAGTAACAATGCAGCTGGACTTTTATTTTTTTTCCCCAAGACGCTTCACGCAGGCGCTGTACTGAGCAAAAACCCCTAGATGGATGCAAGAGATTTCGAGGAAAGAGAAAGACGCACCTCATGTCTATTTCATTGAATGTAGTCAGCATGGCAGCTGTGTTCTGGGCGTCCTTCAGCCTCTGAGCTATCCTCTGTCGCATCCGAGACATTTTCACCTGGACACAATCATCAATGTTTAGTAAAGGCAGTCTTCTAGGAACTGTACGTGTAGTTTTCATGAGTCAAATATCTGATACAACCAAGCAATAACATGCAGATTTTTTTAATACATTCTCACCTTTTTTATATTCTAAACAAACTCAATGCTCTGGTGACAGCTTAGAGGTATGCATATTAAAAACCAGTGCATTGCATATGTGGGAAAAACATTTTATCGTTGTCACAAATTTCTTTTCTTCTTACATATCTATCACAAATTAAAGCCTAATATCTCTAGGAAGTAATATTTCAGTTTATACAATGCCTGCATAAATTCCCGTCATCTGTTCGTTGGATCATTGATCATATGTGATTGAATTGTTTGTTCTATTCAACGGTACCCATTGAATGGAACTTCATTCGCCTCACTGATTCCCACCCCCATTTCATGTATCTCATTCCCAGTGAGAAAGAGGAAAATAACCTGGGGACGGAAACCAATCTAACATTGCATTGTACTGCCAGTAGGTACTTCAGACACAAATCTGTGTTGCAAAGTGACGGACACTGATAAGTGAGCGGGACCTTCTTCTGACAGAGGAGGATTTATGCAGGTATTGTACAAAACAAATAATGAATACTTCACCTTTGTGCAAAGGTAAAAAAATTGTTTCATTCGGTGACAAATGAGATATTCAATTTCACTCTGCACATTTCATCTGTCACCTCATGAAATTGTTCTTACCACCGCACCCATAAACATTCTGAATTTTTTTATGAGGCAAACAAACCACACACTGACTACTTTCACTTTTGGCAAAATAAAGCTTGCCTCTCTTGATGGTGTGTGGAGTGTTAGATTCTGCTACAAAGTGCAACAGACCATCTCAAGTGGCCAGCTACAAAAATAACGAATGCAGTTAATATTTCTACACCCTACCAGCATATTATCAGGTAATGCAGTAAGATGGTCCTTTCACCATGATACAAACACACGGAGCACTACCCGAGGTTACACGTCAATTGTACATACAATGTACATGTCTGAGTTAAAAGATTGAAATCTTGATTGCAATAGTCAAAACTTCAACATCCAAAACTTGACTCTCTCAAGTGCTATTTGTGGTGGCTATTTATGGCTATTTGCTAAAAAACCCAACCCAACAGAACATTAGATGTGGGCAATAGGGTGTTCTGGGTAACCATGGAGAGAAGAACCGCTTTAGACAGGCACAGGGTAATTTAGATTGGAAGCACTGAATGATCATGTATCACTGTCATAACAAACTCACCCTCTGTTCTGTTCTGGTTGGTAAGCCAGGTTGGCCCACTGGGCTTTGGGCAACAATGGGTGTCACCGATGCAGCTAGGAAGTCAAACAGTTACAACGATATCCTTAGTCAGATTGGATTGAAATAGAAGCAGGGACAACGAAAATTTTAAGCGCAAGCCAAGTTTCAGGGACAAAAGGCATGGAGCAGGCAAGATCTGACAAACCCTTGGTTGTATGAGGGTTCCAAACCCTCAATCTCTTTCATGTTTCGCACCTCTCGGAATTAAGCCTGGTTACTCTTTGAGCTTGGTTCTTGAGCAGAAGCACCCTCGCATCATTTAAGACCCGCGTTGTTTGAGAGTGTTCATTTTGTTCATAGCAATGCGACCATACGCGTGCATGTCATAGTCATTTGTTAACCAGCGAAGTGCAAGCCCAACCAAAGGACCCTGCATTGCTAGCCAAATTGCACCCTCTCTTGGTCCAGTTTGGGGCTCATAACTTGATGTAGAAATTGGTCTAAGGTACTGATGTGAACAGCAAATTTCTTGGAATCTTAAATTTACTCTGCACAATTCCTACATCCTGCTAATGAGACTAGAGAAAGTAGATTTTTGCACAAGGTATGTTCCCAAGTAACATTTCTTTCATAGCTTCTTGAGAATTCCCAGAGAACTCCTGTCATTTCATTACCCTAACGTTCACCTGTTAGTGCTAAAGAATGACTTCGGTGACATCTCGAAGTTCTAGTACAAATACCAAAACCTGCCGGTACTAGGTGCCACACATTAGCATGAGCCTACACATACCTGGTTTGGAGGTCATTGGAGCAGTTGGCATGGGAGGCACCGGTGGTGGAGTTGTGGGTATACTCCCTGCCACTGCTATAGGCTGCACTGGGGGTGGGGGAGGGGGTGGAGGAGGGGGTGGGGGAGAGGCTGGAGCTGGTGGAGGTGGTGTTGGGGCTTCACTGGCTGGTGTGGGTGCCTTTGGTGGCTCTGCTGGTTTTAGGGGCACCTCATCTATTAAAAAGGGTGGAAATGTGCATTCAGATATATTGACATTATTTTCCTAGTCAATTTTTGCTTTTAACCAATCTCACATTAGTCAATTACAAGTGGATTAGTCTAATCGATATCCCAGCCTAACCTGCCAAGGTTGGTTGCATTGCTGGCTATGGATAACCAAAGAAAATATCAACGTGCATAAAAAGGGAGCCAGAATCCTAAGTTGACGCGATGATGATTGATCAAAGTTGACCATATGCTAACTTAGAACCGAAGGGGAATGTTCAAAGTACACAAAGTAGACTAAAACTATCAATATCTCCGATGACCTAAAAACTTGTGAATTTTTATGAAGAACACTGCAACTGTACTGCAAGCAGAAGTACTTGGGAGCCTCAGAAGTTAACAGCACTTGCCACACACGAGTAAAACATACCATAACAGAACGACGAATCAATGAACTGCTAATTATTGGATATTGCTACAGCGCCCTCATAAGGTCTGACAGTATCATGCAAGATGAAGACTGAGTGAAGTGGAGGTCTAAATCTATTTACTGGCTGTTTCGTGAATCATGCATGCAAATAAAAGGCTAAATTTATGCTGGTACAGGTGATTCACTCATCGATGCAGTGCTCAGCAAGGCAGCCATTTGAAAAGCACAAGGACAAGATGATTAAGAGAAGACTGTATGCATATTTGATGTATATTCTTTGTATCTTTTTGTTCCAGGATTGATTGGTAATATCTTGGCAGCAGTACAACTGACAATTCAATCAATTTAAAAATGCACATTTCATGGAAAAGAATGGTTAGATTTAATAAATGCATACACAGAACCTTGGATATACAAAAAATGAAAGAATTTAAGTGTGAACAGAATTTCAATATTAACTTCCTAAATTTCGGAATAAATGTTTAAATTTCCATTCACAACACCTTTCGTATCCGAAATTTGCGGTTGAAAACTCCGGTTTCCATCAGCAGGATGACCCCGATGATAAATCAGTGAGTTTACAACACATGATCCCAACAGTGGCTCATAGACTAGTGGGAGTTTACACCGTCCCCATCCTGAAACTCGTGAGCGTGTGAAGCATGAGGGTGACAGACCTCCAGAAACCTGGTCTTGAGAGACGTTTCAATCTCCCCAATATAGGACTCTGTGCACTGTCCTTGTCTAGTCTGCCCTTAGCATGGGATGTGGAAGATCAAGCCTGTCTGGTCCTAATTGCCCACTTTATCCTCAGATGAAACGCGCAATTGTTTGAGAGAGTGCATGGGCTTGAAACACATGCTTCCATGTGCCTACAAAGTCCCTCTGATATAACAGAGTACCACCAATTGTTTCTCTTGTGGTGCATGATTATATTGCGTAATGTTTTCTGTTTGTCCTCCTTGGGTAGAATGCCCTCACCAACGCCCACTTGGAGTACCCACACTTCTGGAGAGACTGGTTGATGTGTACTATTCCCTTGTTTAAAGTCATCAATATTGCTGGTGATGATGAAGTCCGCTCGAATCACCTGGTCACTACATTGACATATCAAAAGTCAACATCCTGGACAGGGATGCCCGGTCTTTTGAAAGGAGGGTTAAAGGAAGCACTGTAGTACATTACAGCCTACAAACCATCATTTACACAGTGCAGGGGGAGGAGGGGGTATAAACCCCCCTGGAGTCTATGATCCAGTGTTGGGATCACGTGTTGGTAAGCTCATGGATTCAACATTCCAGTCATCCTACTAACAAAGACCACAGTTCTCAGTCAAAAATTTCAAGTGCAAGTTTCTCAGTTATTGTGATTGAAAGTTTAAACATAAATTCTATCAACTACCAGCACAGGTGAAATCTCAAACTAATTGGTGAATTTTTCATGAATTCAGTAATTTTCTTGCATAATTAATCGTACTAAGGCAAGCTGACCCATTTAAACTATGAGACTGTAGAGGACTGCAGGTTGTTCAAAAAGATTAAACATTTGGCACTGAAGCACTGTGCACCAAATCAACATGCACTGAGTGAACTGCTTGCAGTCATTCAAAGCCCAAATCAACAGATGCTGTGGTAAAACATGGGTGCAGCTACAACCAGAGGTGTCACGGTATGCAAACGCAAATGTCTTGGGGCGAAATGTGAACTAATATCAATAAGTAACACCCTAGGGATAACCTGCACCACAGACAGCTGTTAAAAACAAATTGAGAACAGAACAGCTGTTGTCGAGCACAAAAGCCCAGCCAATATTAGAGATAACAATCATTTTAGTGCAGATGTACGAATGTGAATTTCGGTGAATTTTCAACAAAATACTGTTCTACTGTAGCAGGCCTACCTGTCACCTTGACTCGGAATAGTTCTTGGCCTGCTACAACAGTGTCTCCATCACCCGCCAGGAATTCTGTGATCATACCAGTGACAGGAGATGGCACCGGTATTGATGTCTGACAACGACAAAAAGGAAAAGAAAAACAGAAAAGAAAACAGCGGTCAGAGAAAAAGAAATAATGACAAACAAGCCGACTGAGGTGGTATCAGGAAAACATCTGTTAGCCATTTTGTATTCTCATCAAAACACAACTGTTGCTGCAGCTGCATGTCTGTAACTGTGAAACAAACTCTAGTGATTACAGACCATTGCTTCAACCTAAGATCCAGTGAAAAAATCTGAACTTGTTAAAGGTACAGTCCATCATTTGCATTTATCCCCCCCCCAAAAAAAGCTGACAAAATCATTGCTGAAAACAGTGGCGGTGCCAGACCTTGGTGGCTTTAGGTGCAAGGTAGAATTGGGTGGGTGCAAATGATCCTTAATTTCTCCTGGGTTACGATGCGGAGTTGTAAAATGAAAAGGGTGATCAGCCTGTGGTAACATGACAACATTTTGAGGGTGCAAACGTGAGTGCAAGCAGCTTTTCGGTGAGTGTAAATGCACCCACATGACACTACGTAGTGCCGCCAATGGTCTAAAGATGGTTATGGGACTAAAGACACATTTTGGGACCTAGTGCACACAAGTGTTAACATGACCCACGCTTTGCGTGCACTAGTACTGTAATTCAGTAAGTGACAATGCGTAGCTGCATTTGACTCAACATGAGAACTTGTCCAAGTCACTGAATCCAAGCGCATTTCAAAACATGACACAGCAACTTTTGATCTGAAATCAAAATTCTTGAATGTTGTTTTTCTCGGGACATACAGTATTCAATGAGCTGAAACTAGAAGGGTAAAACGATTGCGTTACACCATGGATCAATCTCTTTCTTGAGTATATGTGGTTCTGAGAAGAACTGGGGAATGACTCGACGTTTCAAACAGTGTACTCTGTCCATCTTCAGGAGACTGCAGGTTTCCGACTGGGAGTGGAGCTTATATGGTGTAGAGAGAGATCCAGATGTAGGGATTAGCTCGGTGAAGCATTGAGGCGGGAACAGTGAAGGTGCGAAAAATGGATGCTGCACTGTATCCTGGTACATCACCTGTGTACATCATATAATCTCCACTCCCAGTCTCCTGAAGACAGACAGAGTACCCTGTCCAAAACTTCGAGTTATTCCCCAGTTCTTCTCAGAACCACACATACTCGAGAAAGAGATTGATACATGGTGTAACCGCAGTCATTTTACTTTTCTAGCGTCTTTCACCATGAAAACCTTCAAGTCTGAGCTGAAACTTCTTCAGGTTTGTTATCAGGAATTAGATTTTGAGTAATTTTGTTGCAGGGGAACATAATGCACAAATGACAAGTGATGGACTAGACCTTTAAAACAGAACACCTTCATGGCTGCATCTGAATTGGGTGGATGGGCTACTGCTTATTGCTATTTGCCACTGGAGTGCTGCCGTGACTATCCACATCCACTGATGGAAAACAAAAGCTGATGAAACACTTGTGAACACCTCTGATGGCTGTCTACATGTACTTTTACAACAGCTGTTATTAAGAAGCATGCCAAGTCCGTGTCCAATGAAATGCATGCTTTCAGTTTTTGATTAATAGGTTAGTGCATAAGAAATCTATCAACAAGTAACGATGACACTGGCTTGCAATGGCCACTAGCTTGCAATTGGACAAGGCAAAGTTGTCAGCAACTATAAATATTGACTGCTTAGTGATTACACAATGTATCCTATGCACATTAAATTATTTCACCTACAACTTCTGTTCTGATTTTGAACGACTTTTTATCTCAGGGACCCAAAAAACCCCCAAAAAACAGAAAGTGCAGTTATACATGTTCCTCTTAAAATTTGCAAAATGAAATCTTCATGATGGCCATTCACTTCCCCTTCCTTTCATTTCATTTCTAGTCTGCTGTGCAACTACACAATTGGAGTGATGCGTCTAATTTGATTATCTATAATTAGCAGCCTACACACGTAAGAATCCCTGTTTCCGAGTGGCTGAAAGTCTGACAACAAATTACTGGACAACACACACCAAGAGTCAAGTTACTTGGGAAAGGGTGAAGACCCAAAGACATTAATTATTAAAGCAACTAATAGAACTAATTACAAGAGATAACTGGCATGAGAAAAACTCACCTTGTCTGTTTCAATCTCTCCCACTACTTCATCCTCCTTGACAAAATCACCAACAGCTACAGAGGCAAGAGAGAAAAAGACTCAGGGGTGTAAAGGTGAGGTACATGTAGCTCTCTTTATATGCTGTGGAAGTGTGAAGCAAAATGGCAGGCTGGAAGGGAGAAATGAGAGTATCGAGATTGAAGGCAAGCCATCCTAACACAATCCTGCCCTGACACCTACATGTATGGGAGACTGAAGCAGATGTGGGCCCCAATGGGAGAGGGAACACTGGAGAAATTAAAAAAAAAAAAAGGGGGACAAGAGAACAGACAAGTGAAACAAAAGAACAGAAAGCAAGAAAAGAGATGAAAAATCCCAACTTTGTCTGAAGAACCTTTAAAACATATCCTCTCCTGCCAATAATTGTTTGCCAGTTTGGTAGAGAAAACAAAAAATCACCACCTAAGTTCAATTCATGTTGTAAACTGAACTGAGAATTTTTTGAGGTCTGTTTTTTGGGGGGGAGGGGTGTCGTGAAAATTTGAATTAACTTCTGGGCAGAAATGGCCATCTTGGGCAAAAACGCAAATCCATTCTAAGTACCTGCATCCAGTCTAATCACCGACCTTATTTGGTTTGTTGGTTTGATACAAACGAACGAGAACAAATCAAGAGGACAGATCTTGACAGAAATTGAGAGCAGTCTCAATTTAATATATTCACATTTGTGATGTCAGTAGTCCCTTCTCTTTACGTAGTTGCATTACTGTCGCATTTAGAAGGTGGGAATTCACCACAGTAGGTAATACATGTACCTGTATGTACTTGGCTGTGATACACAAATTGTTTACTAATTTAATGTAAGCCATGGAATTAAGGTTACAGCAGACCTACCGCACTAGACCCTATCTGCCTTTGATCTCCCTTCCAAATGATGTAAACAAAATGGCACACTGTAAACCACTTCTTATCTTCTTTTCCTCCCACACCTCCAATATCATTATGTGTAAGGGGAGCCGTGTCAGCAGAAATGCAGGGTATTTCAACTGGAACTAATGACCCTGCTCTTGAAGATGTGCACTTCACCTGAACATATGGTAGACATGGCAGTGGAATATTTAGTCTGGAGAAGGTGCACTTAAATTGTAAAAGAGCGCAGAATGCAACAGATGCCCTGAAGGGTAGTAGCCATGCATATAAACTACATGCTACTGTTCCAGGTCTATACAGTCTTAAATTGTCTTTTGAAAGCATTTCAATAATTACCAGATATGTCTTGGGGGGAACAAACAGGTTTCTTGTGGCAAATTAATGAAGAGGTTCATTGCAATACAACCCGCCCCCATCTGGTGGTTGTAATATGACTCTACTGGCAGTTTTCTCTGAGAATCCATAATAAGAAATTTAACCTTGTTTATTGCTATTCTCATTAAAAAAATGAAAAAGAAAAAAATGGACTTGGATTAAGGGAGCCCTTGCCATTGTCTTGAGTTTATGACATCAGAGTCTTGTATTCACGCAAGGCTTCCCACCTGTCAATTCCTTGGCTTATATTTCCTGGTAGTGTTACATGACCACAGGTGGTTTTCATATAGCTCATCCCTTCTAACCCCTCCCTTCCTACTCCCGCGCAATGGGCCAAAATGTGGTTTTCCAATTAACCTGGGGCTTTTGTGGTCTAAAGGAAGAATCCATGGAACTAAGGAAATGAACATGCAATTGCGCAGAGGGTGCCAATGATCAATTCATCCACTTCAATGAACAACTTCAACTTCTGCCCGGTTCACGCTATGGGTATTCAGTTACATCATCAAAGATGGCGGCTGTGGGTCTGGCAGTGTCATTGCACATGGACCTGAAGTATTTCCAAGTAATGTGCACAAACAGTTCACAGACATCTTTGAAGTGCCTATGTTGGAAATATGGAAGCACTGGCAGGCCCAGACAACTGCCTGGCAGAAACCACTGAAATTAATAATTTCAAAAGTGTAACACTCAAAAGCATAGGGCACACAGGAAACTGAAAAGGAAACGTCTCAAGTTCCCATGCACAGGAATTCCATAAAATGTGAGCATTTGCCATTTAATGCGTTTAGCAGAGGCACTCACAAACAAGCTAGAAAGTAGTCATGAATCAGAGCAGGAGTGAAATTCAAACTTTCACTACTTTCACTAACATTTTCAAATATTTTGTCAGAAGTTGGGTTCTGTTAAGGTGCTCCAATCAAATTTCAATAATTTGCAAGTTACTTATTTTATTTGGCTATTTGCCTATTTAAAACACAGATAATATCAAGTGTCCCATGGGTGGGAGGGGGGCAATATCCAGGGTAGTGATCAAATGAGTAAGAAACAAAGTTTGGGTTAGATCTGGGGTATCAAAAAAGTGAAATTAGTTTTGTTTTCAGTTAATATGTGAGAGCTACATTTTGTCCTTTAGATTAAATTTGTTTGTAACCAGGTTTTACTGCAACCCTGTATCGAGAGTGAAAGTTCCTTGCTCCAAAATTGGTGGGGTAGCTCAAGCTTTTGCAAAGGTTAGCTAATTCATTCGAAGAATGATCATGCTGGTAGACATTCAAAGTCGTTCATACCTTATTCTTATATGTAACAGTTCAATCAATAATTTATTGAAGTTTCTTGCTCTTTTTTCGGGGGTGGTTGGACATTCGCCCCTGCCTACTAAACATTACAACTCACCCTTTTCCCACCTGACATCACCTTCTGACACAGACTCTGCAAAGGGTGGTGTTTGCACAGTGTGGATCTCATCATCTTAAAAACACCACAAGAAAAAAAAAATCGAAAATTTGAACTGTAATTCCGAATAAGATAAATTTCAACATTTCTCAGTTTAACTGAGTCACTGTTCTTTAAAAAGGTGAGCTCATTATCCAAAGACCCAATTCAGGAAGAGCAGGTGGCAGAATTCACTTCCCTGACCCTCCTCGCCCAAAATGGATAAAATAGATGTCATAAAGCAATAAATGGTACACTGTACTTTGGGGTACCAGTTGAAGAGAGACTGTGAGTCAACTTACTTGCAGTTTTGTCCCTACTGATTAAACTGAGATTGAATATAGTATCCATTATCAGGATTCTTTGGAGGGTTTCATTAATAAACCCTCTTTTGTCCATGATGGGTGTTGGACAGTGATAACAAAAAGTTGGCAATGCAAAAAAAAGAAGAAACTTGCAAAATGAATTAAATTGAATTGAATCCAGCCAAATACTCCATATACTCCTGGTGGATTTTGGAAAATCTGGAATGGTTGGGGAGGGGGCTGAGTCATGATGGCACTTGACTTGTGACAAAAAGGGACGAACAGGACAGTTGAAAGTGGTAAGCATAACCTACAGCAAATGCTTGAAGTTTGTAGACCTCTGAACGTGTTGCTACTGGACAAGATGCAAGGTGCATTCTTGCTCAAAGTTCGCAATCTATTATACAAAAAGAGAGAGAAAAACCAAACCATGACCTTAAAGACAAAGCAATTCTGTTTAAAAATGTGATACACTTTGGTGTCACTTGTTCAGAAATTATCCCCCAGCCCCCAAATTATGCATCCTTACCCTACTGATTATCTGGTCAATAAATTTTTACCTTCATTCAAACACTGCACTGCATATTCAGACATGTCACAACCTTCTGCTGACAATGTCAAGGCTGGACATGTGTTCTACAGGTTATACATGTGCATTCGACAGACAGAACACTGTCATGTTGTCTGCAGTACATCTACTCTGATCTCCTTTTAAAATATGAAGTTACAAGCTGGGGCAAGAAATTACAATCTCTATGGCTTATAATGTATAGTATTATACACATCAATGCCCTCTAAAATTGCATTCGACAGGGACTTTAATTGTGTAAGGGAGGCCAAGCACACATAAAATGACAGCTAGCAGAAATAGTCTTATACATATTTTACTTGTAAGTTTTTACTTTTGCCTTGCCAAGTGGAAATAGCGCTTTGTTTATTTTGAACCTAGACTGCATTCGCTTCTTTCATCTCTGAATGAGTGACACACTGGGCGATGTAGTCGTTCTTTCTAAGAGAAAAAATATCCAAGTGCCGCATAAAAAAACCCTGGCAATATTCTTTTCCCTGCAGAGCAACAGAACACAAAACCTCCCTGTTGCTCTTTTACAATGAAGATTGCCACCATCCATTATCTATGATTGGCTCAGCTGACCATGCCATATATCACAGTCATCTCTAGATACCACCTAAGACATGGCCGATACGATCACAATCCATAATGTACAAGCCAGGGGCGGTTTTTATATTTCTCCCTTTCCATTGTCCCACTACCTCAGGTCAGCACTTAAAATTAATGAAGTTTATGCAGGCGCCAAGACACAAAAGGCTCAAATGCACTGGGGGAGGGGGATGTATTCAGGTAATACTGAATTTGTCTGGTCTGTCTATTGGGGGTCGTGGACGTGGCTGAGGATATGTGTGGCTAAGGCTATGTAAACTGCAAGGGAGAGATACAGAAAATCTGAACTGAGCCTGAGAAAATTTGATGTCTGCTAGCTCAATCCACTAACTTACAATGTTCTTAACATGCACAAGTACAGCAACATACGTTACACATGTACCTCTACATGAAAACTGACGAATCGGTACCCTGAAAATAATCAACTGTAAATAGACCATCGTGTCAGAAGAAAGTAATCATCTTTGGTATAACAAGGGAAAAAGGCCTTGTCAAACGCATGTACATGTAACTCACACAGCATTTCCATTTCTCTGTAGACTGTTTACCGATCATGCCTTGATGAAACTACAGCTTACAGAAGATCATTGCTATCGAAGTGAGGGCTGCCCTGTTTGCTCCAGGCACATGCCTTACCCAACAATGATAAAACAGCATCAATTACATATGTGCCCTGAGTATTCCTTCTGCCTCAGTTCAGTTTCCAAATTCATAATAGATGTTAATGCCCAGCCTCTTTTTTGCATTTCTTTTCATTTCATTTCCTTCATTTATCTTTTTCCCCTCACTGCAGTCTCATCTTCTCTGGCTACAAAGGGAGCAAATGATCCATCTCCTCTGATCAGCTCCTTTGGTGCTCATCTCAGCAAATGCAAAGTCGTGATGCCCGAGGGGCAATATTTCATTAAGTTGTCTAAGGGCAATGATTCATGTGTTATATTATCATCCTCAGTAATTGCAACTAATAAGTCTTTGAAAAAAACAACAAAAAAAAAACAAAGCCACTTTGATTACATCTTCAACGGCGGGTTTCTGTACTTCAGAGTTCCAGTGGCCTGTCCTTCAGTGATCCATTAATCTGTCTTTTATGACTGCTCTTCTGCCAAGAAATTTTTTTTTAGTCTAATACCCATTCTGATAAATTTTCAATAGACTTCTTCAAGATTGGTAAGAACAAAGATGCTGCTTTGTCATCATATTTCCTTGGCGGTGAATGGTGGGTGGTAAAACGTTAGGTTCTCAGTCATAAATTCATACAATTCTCAAGAATTCAATGCCTAGTCTTTAACAATGCCTTGTCAGTGCAATACAGGCCACATAATTGCAACTTGGCAATACTCCCTTGCCTTAAAGAGGTCAAACGTGCACCGGAATCTGTCTCGGCAGTGGACACAATACTCTTTGAATGCTTCTTTGAAGGAAGGCAAGCTGCACACATGCCCAAAAAAAAAAAAAATTGGCACCAAGGACTCAATAATGCAAGCAACAGCCTTTCCCACACGCAAAGAAAGATGTACGAAACCAGCCCACAGTTACTGCTTGAGCAGTGATGCAAGACGGCACTATTAATCAGTTGTGAAAGGATCTTTTTTCCTTACTTTACCCCCTTGCCGTACACACACACACACACACACAAAGGAGGGGATATTTCTTTGGCTCAGGTCAGGGATAGGCGAAGTGTTATTCACTTCTTTATTTTCTTTAGAAGTTCCCTTGGATTGGTGGGAATAACGTCCAAGCACCCAAGCTACAGGTGCAGAAAGCTCGGCACTTCTGAGAGTGCGAGGGCCCAACTCCTCCAGAGCCCCTTTCAAGTTGTTCATTTCCACATGAATTGCAGCAGTGATGATTAACAATGCTTTAGAACTTGGTGCACAATGCTGGACCAACTGAGTGTCTGTGAGTATTGCTTGGGGCGTTTTAAATCCTGATGGCACAAACAGCACAACAGAGTTAGTGCAACCCTCCATGATGAGGGCCTCACTGCAACAGGCAGGAGGGTAAGAACTACTCCTTCCTCCTACCCTCTCTGAAAGACAAAAGGGCAAGTGAACAAAGCCAAATAAAACCATTCGAAACCAAAAACAAATAAACAAACAATTCCACAACCAGTAGGTTTGTTACCTCTAGTCTAGAAAAAACCTACATTCGTGAAGTAAAATGTTGCAACTGATGCAACAAGACAATCTATTACCACTGAGGCCTGTCAGTCGAGAGCAGTTTTATTGGGTGCATGCCTTGTTGTGTAGGCAAAAGTGCCAATAGATGTTAACATTTACACCATCTAGATATAAGTACATATACATCAAATGGGGACATAATCAATGTAAGGTGGAAAGCTTGCGGTAGCACCATGCAAGGATACGATCTCTTTGTGAGTCTATATGGTTCTGAAAAGAACCATGAGGAACTCAACGTTCCGGACAGTATGCTCTGTCCGTCGTCAGGAGACATTTGTCTGTCACCATAAATAGCTTGAAATCACATAATCAATGTACTTTAGAAAAGCTTGCCGGAGTGGGAGAGTGGGAATATGTATACCTACAAAAGGAACAACTTTTGCAATGACATTTTAACCCCACAAAAATGTCATCTGCTTCAATAATCACACTGAAGTATTATGTAAAATAAAGAATGTTTAAAGTAAACAAACACAACTCAAAGCCCTTTTCATTTGAAGTTTAATGTTGTCTTTCTCAACATATGACAGTCACAACAATTATCATGAAATCAGAAATTCACAGCATTAAAGACCTGTTTACTTAGGTTCATGCAATTCAATGGGGAAAAGAGATTGTCAAAACAATACAGGTATATTTTCATCCAAAAAGCATCCAGTCACCCTCACCTTATCTGTTCTGGCTCAAAACCATTAAAAACACAATTAACGTTCATATTTATGTTCAAATTGAATACCTTATTGAAAGAAGGGCCCAACTCAGGCAAAACCTTTTTTTGAGATAAAAAAGAAGAACTGGATATTTTTCGAAGGAATTGCAAAGCAAATCAATTAACTCTCCTTGGCCTAAATGGTGGAGTTGGGCCTTTGTGTTAATGGGGTATTCAACTGAAATAAGAGAATTGAAAAAAAGAAGGGGAAAAAAAAAACCTGCAGTAAAATTCTTTTATCCTGCCGTTCTTCAACAGGTGGCATCTTCCTGACTCTAATACCAGCTGCAATGGCTAATTGCTCCTCCATGTATCTCAACAGTTGTAACAATTTCTCCGCCTGCCATAAATGACACTCAGGACGACAGGGATGATGATGATCACTCTGATGATGGCAAAGATGAAAATGCATCTTAAATAATAGATTGTGCTCCCGCAAATTGGCTGTATTCCCCCAAGGCTCCTTGGCTATTACCGGAGCATCCAGGAGGCTGGAAATTGTTTTTCTGGTGCATTGTCAAGACTGGCTGAAGAAAGATGGATGACCCATCGTTTATTTATGAATGGAGCCATCTGAGAGTTATTACGTGTATGGTGATGACACAATGACTTCTGTCTCCAGAAAAAAAAAAAAAAAGTGGGATCATGATGACGCTACACTTACCGTCTCCTAAGAGGAGAATGTCATTCATTATCAAGACAACGGAAAGTGAATTTCTTCCAGGCCAATTGTTGCTGCTTGAGCTTTTTGGCAGTATTGCACTGAAATTGGTTATGAATTGAGTTTGGTTCCATTGTCAGACATAACATGCAGGTGTGCGCACATCATACTACAGTGCCTACATTTATGTACTACAGAACAATTCAATTATGTACATGTACATCGGAAGGCCATCTCCAACTTATTACAATATCAAAATTATGTAAATTGCATGTTCCAGTACACGTACAGCACCCAACAACAGAACAATGAAATTCCTAATTCTCAAACCTGTGGAACATTATCAGAGAGCAAAAGACAGTGAGTCATTAAGGGTAATTAAACTTGCTTGTTTAATACCTCTGATTAAATCTTAATGTCACGATCAATTTTATTCTCTTTTCAATCTCAGGGAGGAAGAATCCCATCTCCTTCCGTCTGATCTTGGCCATGTGACAACAGATTTATTTCACATGAACTCGGCATAATTGTTGATACATCACTGCTTTGTAAATCTGCAAACCAGCCCAATCACACAAAACCTGTTGCAACAATGGTGAAATAATTATGTTATATTTGTGTCTGTGTCTCAGCCCTTTTTGCAATGCTTGGTGACTGAAGACCTAGGATTTGCAGGACTTGCTTGGTGACTGAAGACCTAGGATTTGCAGGACTTCCTGAAAAGCACTTCCTGAAAAGGTACCGGTACACTGCATGTCTATGAAACTGGTATCATGCAAAAAGCCATAACTCAACAAAGTCACTTTAAAATATGGGCTTGCCATCAAAAAATAATAGTGCAGTGGTGATTAACCAAAATACAAGGAAGAGGAGATTTCACCCTCCTCCCAGTTTAACAAGAACCAAAGGCTGACAGTATTAGTTTGATAGAAAATGTTGACTTCCAAACAAGTAAAAATACTTCAATGCAATGGACACTTATTTTGAATTCTCCAATAAACCAGTGAAAAGTACAATACATGTAAAGTGATATTAAGTAAAGGGAAAAAGATAAGTACCACCAGTAACAAAATAATACATTGAATCTAATTAATTGAATTGAAGTTAACAGGTCGGGAATAAGAAAAAGAGTAATATTATTGGAGAGTAAAAGGCTGTTCACATACGCCAAACCTTGTACATGTAGGCAGAACAGCCTGGACAGACGATAAGTACATGTAGACAATACAATGTAATCACACACACCATTGCACACCCAGCAAACCCAACCCAATCCAATCCAAATTGAACACAAAATCAAAAAACCCAAAATAACACAAAACACAAACACAATCAGATAATGCAATCAAAGCCTGACAAAACCAATGCAGTATAATCACGTAATGAACCAAACTGACACAAAAGAGGAAAATAACAACAGAGAGAGGGCCAAGTTTTGTACTAAGAGAGAAGAATCCTCTTGGAAGGCAGATACCCAGTATATCATTCTGCTGACTAAACCTAACTAAATTTGTTCAGCTTCTCTGCATTGCGAAATACAGTAATAGCATCAAAGCATTTACACGTATCACAGTATCTCACAGTATCTGTAATTTAAAGGTGTCGATATTTTACCATTATTCATGCACACTGGCATCGCAACATCTGAACTTTCCTGCAACTGTCTTAGTTCCCTGGGGAATATACTAGCCTGATGCTGCCACATCAAATGCCAATGGCTAAACATAGTAACCTTATGCCCATACAGGTACCCATGTACTCAGGGGTGGGGAGAGGCATGCAGGAGTATAGTGACTTACCCAGGAACATATGCTGCCACCAGCTGGAGTTTAACCCCGACCCGCTTATCAGAAGCTACAAACCCTAACCACTAAGTCACATGCCACAGTTATTTCTTGGCCTGATCTACAAAACTGACCACCTTTTCCAAATCCTTCATTCTATTCTTGAGATAAGTTGGGCATATAGCCTCAAATTCAATGGAGGCATTGACGCCAGAATCTAAGCTATCCATTGGCTTATACAGACTTGTTGACCGAGGTGAATCTCAGTCAGCCTGTCCCACACAAAACCCTGGAACTCCCTTCAGTGCTGTGGCCACTGTATGTCCCATTGCTTCTGGAGACTTGGGTGGGGATAAATTGAGCCGAGGATCTGGAAGGTGGTGAATCTTCAGCATTGTGATGATGCTAAGCTCAAGGTCAAGTTTAGCTGAGCCACGTACCGGTACTAAAAACATTTCTCACCAGTGTCCATGCTGATGACAATCTCATAATTGGTACCTTACTACATGTGGAACAGTGGGGTTATCTTTGATTTGAAACTCTGAAAGCTTGTGACAATGAGTAACACGTGCGTCACCATGTGTGATGGTTTGATTTTGTGTTTAGATGCTGCATAGATCTACAATATATATATAAATTAAAATACTGATTAAAAAATGCATTTGGAATTTATTTTTGGCTCCAGTTATTTCAGTTTTGCATCTTTTCGATCAAATTCCCCCCAGCCCAAATTAAACATGCTCCTTTTTCGTTCAGGTTTGAATTTAGTCTTGCAGATTCCCTTGATTTTAAATATCCTTGATATGAAACTTTATATGAAAAAGGTTAACCATCAGGTAAAAACACAATCATATTTAATGAAAGGGATGAAACAAAAATGAACACACCATAAATAAAAGTCATTAACTTACAGGGCAATTTTTTATTAATGTAAAATCTGCCACAGGAACAAGTTACCAATGCAGGTCCAACAAACGTCTTGGATTTAATTAAGAAAATAAGTCCCTGATTGAAATAAAAACAAAAATTCTTTTATTACTCCAGATAAGTTCTAAGTTGTTAATCATTTTTTTCTATCTGCTGAATTACATTTACCTGTTAAACTGCTGTGCTCCATGTCTGTCAAATACAGCTTGGTTCCTAGGACCTGCAATAAGCAATTATTCACCAAAGATTCTCAGAAATGTCTTTTGAAATGTCTCACTGGCAGATGACGATAAAAAATGAGTCTATTTGTAATCATAACACAATTGCCAATACCCATGTTGCTGCAGTACAGTTTATTTAAGGCCAATGTAATTTGATGTTACGTATTTCCTCTTCAACGTGTGTTTTGTGTGGCCACAATTTACTGACGGGCCTGACTTTCCATGAAAAGCTTATGTGACTATGTCTTCAAACCACAGAGGACCTCTAGTTCCCTAAAATTAGGGGGCAAAGACCAAACATAAATTATCCAAAGTGATCTCTCATAAAATTTGAAGAAGTAAGTTTTATTACCTGAACAGGAAATACTTGCGGCTTGGGCAGGCTGTTATACATATAGGAAGAAAGCCAAACAAACAAACATGAATGAGACACAGAGAGAGAGAGAGAGATATGAATCTGAGCCTACCCCCTCCCAAAAATGGCTGAGTGGATTGTTTAATTCGTTGAGAAAAGAAATTGTGTAAGATTTTAACAGCTAATAAATCATTCTTTTCAGCATCTACAAAGTGTCAACTTGTTTTAGAGCTTCCTCTTCAAGTTGCTATTAAAAGACACAAATGACACCATTTCCCAAGTTAACCACAAATTTTACCATACGACAGGAAATTACACTTTTGAGTGGCGTGGTAACGAACATCCTTATATTTGGGCTCTGGTCTATATTTGTAGTTAGTCTGAGTCACACTTCTTGGACTATTTCTCCAGTATTACTGAATAGGCAATTACAGTGCATATGCATGTACATCTATCCTGACCCAAACCAACAAATTCCTCTTAGACCTTTGACAGAGAAAGGGGGGGTTTTGTCCTTATTACTAGTACAGTACCTATCTTGGAACCTGCTTATCAAATTTTAATTTTGATGTAGGAATTATAGTGGATCCCTGAAGTACACGTACATGTACACCTATCATGTCAACACTCGGTTCTTCCACCTGAAATTTTTTAATCCCACCCCCAAATGATTATCATGTAAAACGTGTCAAGATATGTAATATGCCACATGATGGCTGAAGCAGATTCTTCTCCCCAAATTCTTACCTTCCTATTAAAGTGTTTGATAAGGACTCTCCTCATTCCACAAAATGCAATAGCTACTGAAGTGCAAAGCCTACTAATTCTACGGGGTCCAATATCATGAACAAAAGATCTTTTTTTTTCTATTCAGATGAACTAAAGTTAACAGACTTATGTGTACTTAATCATGATGACTGAGTCTTATCATTAAGACCTCGTGACTTGTGAGTCACATTTTTTTTGTCCACGAACAGAAATCAATTATTACGTCTGTATACGTGTATGTCATTTCCAGTTGCGTACACGCATATCTACAGCTAGGTATAAGCTTTAATAACTCTACTGGGCTACCAATGTCGATATAAACTACACATGTACAATTTGCGTACTTAAGTCTACAATCACTGGATCAAGTCAACATGAAGGGAGGACGCATCCCATGCTGGTATCTGCCAACAGACCGTATTTGCGACGTCCCCAATTTCAGTTGTATTCCTGAATGTACAGTGTAAATTTGAAACCCTTACTGGGATGGTACCAGGTGATTTTGGGGGGTCGGAATGAAATCGTAGATTACAGTTTGGTTCTTTGAATTGAATATTTTCAAATAAATATACTTCGTTGGGGAATATGACTGAAATTGGGTTCCCACGGATACGGCCTATTCCTTGGCAATCCTTCCATGGCCCACAAGGCCATGTCCAAAATATGTCCTGAGCTACTGCTGCTGATGCATAATATGCTCCCTCAGATTTTTAATCATTTGTTCTCATAAACTTCTTCTGTTCATTTGCATGAAACACGTATTTCGTCCAAAGGCGATCTGTACGTGAGCAAAAACAGAACTTTCTTTTTTAGAAACAGTTAATTTCAAGGTGGTGTTATATACTGGAATGAACTCGATACTGGTCTAAAAGAGTGTACTACCTTGGTCTCATTTGCCAAAACACTGAAAGAATCGATCATCAATACTTATACTTAACAAAAAAAATCATCGTTGTATTGCTTAAGTCATAATTTTACATATTTTACCAGGACTCACTCTTAAATACATTGTCTTGTTTCAGTCCTTGTGTAGTTGATTAAGTCTTGTTCTGTCTTGCTTTGTTTTGTCTTGTTTTGTCTTGTCCCAGGGAAAGGTACAAAAGCTCGGCTTCACCTTTTTCCTTCATCTTGACATCATTTGATATGTACATTGTACATGTACACTTAAATATATATACTGTAAATAAATTGTTGTATGAATTGTTATCAAGGATGTCAATGTGAAAAAAAAGTTGAATTGTTATGTTATGTTATGCATGTACTGTACATCTAACATTACTTCAACATGCATCCACATCATTGCAATTCTGCATGGAATTCTTCAGTGAGGACCTTTGTCTGATTCCACAGAAGGAAAAATAAAAGGAAATCATCTTATATTTATTTAACTATCATAAATCATTATCTCCTGAAAGCAGAACCTGCATCAACTCTCAGCTGAAGTCCATGATGTCCTTTTTCTAAAATTTCCTTAATTTCGGAGACAAACTTGAGGTCTTAAAAATTTCATTTTTAAATAGTTTACTTGCAACTAACTTTAAACTTATGACAACAGAATCTATTAACTAAAGAAAACTGTAATATTGGCACAGCTGGAACCAAATTGTATTTCTACCTCTGAAGTAAACTGCACGGCCCTGCCACATCCCATATGCATAGGTTAACTTCCTCTAATAGTCTCACCAAAAAAAGTTGTTTAAACAATTATTTTGTACTTTTTGGTAACTTACTGTAAGTATTATGCACATGCTTGTTCATGCGTGTGAGCTTTAACACTGCCTCTCTTCAACAAAGTAAATAAACAAGTGACTTCAGACTTGGAATGGGACTCCCAGCAAGTACATGTAAATTACGATTTGAACTTGAGGCAAATGGCACAGGCTCAGACTCAAGCAAGTACATGTAACTCAGGGTATGAACTGAGCCTTAAAGACTTGCCTACAACATTGTTACTAGATATGGTAGCAGTCAAGTGCTTTAGTTAATATAGTATGCAGTAACAGTGCACGTAGCCAAGTTGAATACAAATTGGAGAACAGCGCAAGTTTCAACTTCCACAATTTTTCCAAGTAAGTAAATTCACTAGCGTCTTTATGTTTGCATGAGCTAGTGTAATTACAAATACATGTACAACAAAATGCTTAATCTTGTGTAGGAGAGAGTTGAAAACAACACCTACATGTATAAGTTCAGATGCACATGATGCAGAGCTGTGTGGGCCAAAAGGCCCACAAAGCTCTGCATCATGTGCGCCGCTATGAGAATGATGGGCGAAATTCATTTAGCAATGACATCAGCAGAGACTTAGCAATGAAATCTGCAAATTTGGATAACTGAATATTCCCTTTATAAAAATTAAACTATCCTGATTTAGAAAAAGTTGGTTTCTCCCAAATCTAGTTCCAACCAAACATAAAATGAAGGTTACTGAAAGTAATGCAACAAATTTTGTCATCTCTAGGTACTACATTCCACAAAAGAAAAAGAGTACTTCAGTGACAAGAGATGGAGGGACTAAAATGCACTATTGGTGAGAAACATGCAGAACATCATCCAAATAAAGATTGAGAATGTTGTCTGCCACTTCTGTTTACCATGAATGAATGACCAGAGGTTGACCTCACAGCCATGCCAAATTAAAATGTCAAATCAGCCTTGGAAAATAATGACAGGACAGACCTTCCCCCATGTTTCCTTCCCACATATAGCTGTGACCACTCTCGTGTACATGTACATATGTAGGCCTACACATCCAGAACTAAACTCAGCACATATACTGCTGTGATAAACTAAGCTGATGCATGTTTTCACTGCCAAAGTGATGGCAGTCATCTGACTTTCATCTGTTCACAATTATCCAACAATACACGTTGGGCATGGTTGCTGATGCTCCACTGCTCAGCATGCTCAGTTGATCCAATCTGAAATCTTCAACTTTACTTCCCTTTTTGGAGACAATCTTGGAAAGAGTTCTGTATATGGACAACACTTGATGCCCCTGTGCACAAACCTATGGGATTTGTTTGGACAGATTTGGACATTACAAAGTGGCAAAACAATAATATGGTCAGTTCGTGAAACAAAAAAGTACTGTTTCTGGAGGACGCTGTGCTTGAAAAACTGATGTAGTTACTATATAGTCAGTTCCTGAAGTCCATGTGATCGAGTTCACACATCGCCTTTCCCACTAGAATGATGAAGTGGCGAAATTACAGGAACGTGCAAACTCTATGCTAAAAGTAAGTCATTTAATGTTGACTGATTGAAATAGAGTAACATAAATGGTTTTAAATGAAACTTCAGCAAGGGTTTGAGGGTGAACTGTCATTAGTATGCCCTGTCAGTCCTGGTCCTATTTAAGTTCTCTGCTAGCGTTATGCATTACGCCTAGGCCTAGCCTTCACTAACAAATATGCAACAGAAAATATGTTCCTGTCATGCGACTTTTTCCTATTTCCTATAGTTCTTGATCTCCATCCATTAGGCCTATGTGCATTGCAGGCAAGCACTGATTCACATGATTCATTGACTTGTAAATTGATTTTGGATCTTTGCTTTTATTTATATTTCCATATGTTTTGGCGTTTCAAGCTCTGTGGCTTGATGTTGTTACCCCCCTAGCTGAGGTACCCAAACGTATCCGAAGTCAGTATTCAGAATTCACGTTTTGGCATGAACAGAAAAAAAAATTTGCTGGTTATAGTAAGGCTCTGAAGACAAGTGAAACTGTGTTTGATTTGGATTCTTCCATATTTATTTCAACAGAAAAAAAACAGAGAAAACATGTTTTCCTTAGAGGTGCTCTTTAACAGCTGTTATTTCATTTTCTGTATAGGTTCAGTTTCAGCCAGACAAGGATGATGGTGACAATCCAGCGGCCTTTCTTACACGGATAAAGCCACTGCAGGTGATGATGTGCTATATAATCGTTTGAAGAGTTTTAAGGTCCCTCCTGAACCAAAATTTCTTTTGTGAACTAATTAAAGAAAATAAAACTTCCATAGTTCATTTATTTAAATTTATAACCAAATATCCTCTGAGGTGCAGTTAGAGAAATAAAAGGAACCATCCATGAAATAATCCACAGAGGTTTCAAAGGCCACACAGCAGCAAAGAGTCTGTGGTATACATATTTGCATTTAGCTGAAGGCACTACTTAACATTCCCATTTTTTTACAATCAACTTAATTCAACAGGTAAAGCTATCGTAACTGTAATATCATAATTTATTTTTAGATCCTAAAGTCCTAATGGGAAACTCCCAGGATTTGGAATATTATGATGGAAGAAAGTACTGAAATTTGAATGAGTCTTGATACATGTATATCTTACACCTGCATCTCAACGTTTTGGACTGCATGGAAATCAAATAGAGTAAATGGGTCATTCCATGAGGTTGGGGCACAATCTGTGATGGTGTCCTTGTTACATCCAAAACTTTTACCACCTGTCATGACCTGAAGAGTAAGTCATTTACTCTGTAAAACCAACATATATCTGTATTCAGCCTGATGTATAACAATGTCAATTTGGAATCCATACGCAGGCAAATAACTGTTCATTTTTACAGAACCCATGTAACAATTGACAGTGTCACAAATTGTGCCCCAACCTCATGGAATGACCCATATAAAAATCATGAGCAAGAAATAAACTTGTGGTAAAAATGCAGCCGCATTTGTTTTATTACAGCTAAAATGAAATGATAGGGCATGCACATTTTGAAATACAATTGTTCCAATAAATTATTTTAGTGCTAGAAATAACAAATTTTTAATGTTCTATACTGGAGTAAGTGAAAATGCCATGGAAATGATAATTATATGTACAGGTGTACATGTACTCATGTACCTAGTCTGTTTATGTTTTGATGTATGTTTGTGACACTTTGTGTTTGCTACATGAGAAGGGAATTCATGTTTAGGTACATGTAATACAATTTTGAAATATTTCACCCAGTATTTTTGACAATGGATGCTAATGGTGGTTTGCAAATGAGAATCCAAAACATCAAAACGATCTGGCTGAATCTTCACATACTGCGTCGGTTCATAGAATATACTGGCATTGCATCACACTGTTAACATTATCGTATTAGTTTTACAAAGTGACAAAACAGTTCGTGTGTCAGTTCGTAACTCCATAAAAAGATACAATATATATTACACACAGTCAAAATATAGTTTTTACGAACCGAAAAACTTATTTAGACCTAAATATCTCCATTTTAACTACATTCACAAATCAAACACACTGATTTATTTTTATGCTACATTTTGTGTACCCCCAGAAGTGTGGGGTCTGACGTCCGACCCCACAGTTCTAGGGGTACATTTTGTGCAAATACCCTGCAAAAATTACCTAGAAATGTGAACATTACCCACTGAAATTTTGCATTTGAAAACTTACAAACCTTTCAAAGCAATTGTCTCGAAATCTTGTTTTCCAGCCCAGTGCTTATTTTGCTGGATCATGAAAACAGCGACGATTTTAATGCGCGAATTAAGGCTCCTCCACGAGGGTGTCGGTACCTTTGCCCCATGTCCACTTCGCCCCACTATCACTTCGCTCCATTTTCACTTCGCCCCATCGATTATCATTCATTCTGTTCTTCAGTAACAGAGGCATGGGCCTAGATGCAACAAGTGAAAAAATCGACGTTTGAGTACCCAAATAACGATCGGAGAATCAAACTTGGAAAAGCCAAAACAATGCTTCCAATTTCCCGACCAACCCAAATTTTTCAGCGAGACCCTAAAATTGGCAAGTTAGAAAAAAAAGTTGTCTTCCTGTTTCATTGTCGCCGTGGTAAAAACATGTGCGCAAAGAGCTCGTTCCTGCACCCATGTGAGAGAATGCATGATAGAGCGTGGCAACCAGTTTATTCATGCCGCGTTATCATGATATACATGTACGTGATCTCACAAATCGAAAAAAAACCACTGATGTTGCAAGATTTCTTCACGTTAATTCTTAGTGTCTTGTTAGGTTGTTTTGCTTGTATTTGAAGCGAGCATGTTTCCACAAAATTACCTGCACGCTAAGCTTTATCCGATCACCCGGGCACAGCTGTCTGGATGCACTGACAATCATCAAAATGAAGTGAACAGAATTGTTTGTGTTGCTTTGAAATAAACTTGAAGAGGATGAGAAATAAACCCAATATGTATTAATTCTTCATACAGACGAAGCAGTCGACATTACTTTAGCGAACGCCATAGAGTTTTCTATTATAACTACATGTTTTTTGTGGAACTCCTCTCTCGACCATTTTTTTGAACATGTTGAAGAGGCTTGTCAATGCACGTGAGCACCGACGGCAAAGTGGAAATGGAGCAACGACGTGGGGATGGGACAAAGTGGAGATGGAGCGATGTGGGGATGGGGCGAAGTGGGGATGGGGTAAAGTGGTTGGGGCGACGTGGAAATGGGGCGAAGTGACTGTAAAGCCTCCACGATAATAGTAAAAGTCGTAAAGTACAGTACATGCATAACGTTAGGCAAAGGGCCTAAACATGTACTGTAGCTATGTCAGTCGACAGTTCAGCACTTGGACAGATTAACGAAATGTACTTGAAAAATGACTCCTAAATCCAACTTTAACTGTTCTGTAACCTCCACAGTTATCGGTTCTTTAAAATACATACCCGGTGTACTTGCACATGCCGAAATATTGGTAAAATGCGGCGAAATCTGCCGGCTACTTTGATCGAAGACAACATTATGGGGGACCGGAAAGTACAGAGGTCGAGTTAAACCAAGGGCTTGGACTAAAACTAAATACTAGGAAAATAAAATTGACAAAATTAAAAGGGAAGAACATAAAAAAATATTGAATAAAAATGTAAATTTTGAATTATTTTTTATGAAAAGAAGTCATAGTAATGTCCCAAAGCATATCACGGCTAAATTCAGAAATGTAATTTAGTGTGAAAGAGACCAGAGGTTATCACAGGCTGTCGTCTGCATGTGTGTAGGCGCCTTGGTACTGACTATTGCACATCGCGTTCATTATTACTCGCAACATCTGCACTACAAGCATGACAAGTGGCCTACTACTACATTTTAGTACTACATGTAACTTCCGAGCGTTGTGAGGGCCAAATTGGAACTTGTAAGTACACGATTTTTAACAAACATTTTTAAGTGAGAAGGATTGCAATGCCCTACATTTTCCTTAGACCATATGTAATCCACCATGTATCATGCTTATGTTATGGTATTAAAATCCTTGTAAACGTAGTAAAGTTATGGCAGCAGACACAAGTTCAGAATCATAACCTGATTCCTGAAACATTTCTAGTTTTTCTCGGCAATGTACAAACCAAAGTGTGCATGGCACCTGCTCTGGTCAGCGTTGTTGGTTACCACTCAATTGTGACTTGCCGTGATGGTCCTTGAAGCCAACAGCGTCATTGCAACATATATGTATCTCGGCTTCAAGCATGTCAAGTGTATTAAACCAGCAGACTGATCCCTAAAATTCAGAATACTGCTGTCCTTCATTTAATTGGGGAAGAAATTTTTCCATATCGGACCATCACAATTTTCTAGTGTAAACACCCTACTACTCGGTTCAGTACCTACTGGTGGCTGAGGGGAGCAGATTAAAATGACCGAAGTGACTATTGTTAAAGGTACTGTAATTCAATTATCATTGCCAATCTAGGCTACATGTACATGTATATGAGATTTTAATTTCCCTATGTCGTTATGGTATTGTGGTGGTGCAGTTGGTATGCATGCTGCTCTGCAATTCTGACTTGCAAGGAAAGAGCCCACTCCTCCTTGGATCTTTTTTCCATTTTTTTTCCTTCTTCCTGTTCTTTTTTTTTTCTCAACTGGATTACATGTTTACCAGTAGAGGTGCACATCACAACTCGGAGACTGTCCCTAAATTGGGAGAAGTTCCTTTATTTGGAGACACATGGGAACTTCTTTTCTAAGTGGGCTTGGATCAAAGATATTCGCATGCTAGTCTCAATTTTCCCCCCATATTTTCTGTTCTTATAAGTTATTTAGGAAAGAGTTCCATACATGTATACGGATGTCAGTAATTATTCCCTACAGTGAGTAAATAGCCATCAGAAAGCAAAAATATGTCCAGAAAAGTTCAATTCAGGAGGGAAAATACCGAGTCATTTACTTAGAAAACACTGAGAACTTTTCAGACCAGTCTTAAAAGGATTTATGCATAGGGTGTCAAGAGACCTGCACTGGCAGTGCGTAATATGCATTACCACCATGTAATCTCGTGTACACGTTCATGTAAATAGTGCAGGCTTGTTTGGATGCACTAGCACTCCCTTGCAGCAGAGTGCATAAACTTGTTTTTGTTAAGCTAGACACTGTATTTGTTCTTTCATATCTTTTTCCCTTCAACTGTTATGATCGAATGTTTTGTTCTTTTTTCTCAGTAAAAAACAATCCAACAGGTATAAACAGCCATTCATGTAATTAGTTGTTCATACTTAATTTGGACCAATCAAACCTGTCCAAAATAAACCAGTCAAAAAGTAGGTAAATCCTTGTGATCGTTCCTTTTATAATTTGTGCTTTCATCTGCCGACGGACGAACCCACCTCAAGTACATGTATTACACATGTATATGTACTTGTACTAGCACCATTAATTGATGCTGGTGTCCAGGGCAGAGCACTGGTTTCTCCAGGACTTATGTATGAAACACTCAATCTAGCCCTGGGAGTAACTGAAAGTTTTCAGAAAATGCACCTGTATTTTTTTCCCTCAAGAAATTGAATGTTTTAAACAACTGTTCATAAGCTGTTAAAATTGCTCCTGGTAAACCATCCTCTTAATTACTCAAATGCAACAGCTGTCACCAATTTCTACTTACTGGTACGTGTACAGTGTATCATAATCTGGCTTTGTGATTATGTCCAAAAAGTGGCAACGTTTACTTATATTTTTTTGTAAATCCCACCAAGTCAGTATTGAAGCTATTCAAAAGGAGTCATGTACAGTATGTACGTGTACATGTATGTAAGTGTTATTTATGACCATTAGTATGATTATTAAAAGTGGGCATTTCTGCCAGGGCCTTGTTTTGTACTTGAGGCAAATTTAGCATTGACTTCAAGGTTTTGTCCTTCAGCAGAGCTACTGTACTTTAGGCTGTGTATTTGCTATTTTCACAATTGAAGCTTGGTGTGAAATTGAATTTTCAGCTGCAAAGGCAGAGAGTCAAACTATGAGAGTCTCTGTTACCATGTTCTTTACAGTGTTCTCATACTGTATTCAGGTATGTTGGTCACATACATGTACGTCCCATTATGATTGTGCTCAGACTCCGTTTTTGCGACACTCAGGTATGCCTGTGATACTTCTAAAAGGAGTGATTTGAAAGACAGCAGTTTTTCTTATAAATAAAGGACTTGTACCAGTAGTTTTATTTTAAAAGTTCAAATGCACTTAGGGTAACAACAGACTTGATTACCGAATCTTGACAAAATTCAAGGTACATGTATTCACATTCTGGTTCTATTACTGCATAAATGCACAGGTCTGCATTGTAAATAACATGTACAGCTGAAATTGCTGAAATTGTTACATCGTGTTCCGTAGGCTTGCACTACATCTGTACTTGTTCGGTGATTTCTGAGTTTCAGCGCACTGCAAGCCATACACTGCCGGTCATGTGTCCTGCCAGGCCTCAGATGTTGTGCTCTTTTTTTTAGTAGTGTTACACTTGTTGATTTCAAAAGCTGGTACAAGAGCCTCAGGTTGCTCTTAATGTGGTGTGGTGACTAGTGTATTCTAATGCAGTTTCTGGCATGTCTTGCCTCACTCTAGCAACTCATAAATCATCACAGTAGAAATAATGTACCACTTTAAGTTACATGTACCTGGTACCAGGATCCAAGTTTGCAAAAGTTTGTTTCACTCTCCCTTGCAGGCGTATCGCTTGCTCAAATGGCGCCCATGGTAATTACAGCTTTTGGGCAGAGTTATCGAACTTGCGCCTTTGGCACTATACAATCTTTGCTTCTAACCATGACAAAAGAATAATTACAGAAGATTACCATTTAAAGCATTGTGGTTTGAATTTTTCATGTGTTGTCATGTTTCAATTTGCAAGTTTTTTCAGTCATTGTCGAGTGCCTTTAAAATTTCTGAAAGTGATAAGATGCTCATTTCAGGTTTAAATTGCATGCATTTTCACAATGCAATGTTAAACTTAAATGTGTGGTATTTCTTGAAGGCTGATGAGGTGCTTTTTTATGTTGCCAATTTAGGCAATCTTTTGCCAATTCAGGGATATTCTGTGGAGATTGTGAACCTAAGATGATGAAGAACACTGTAAAGATTTGCAAGCATCACGTCAGGGGTGGATGTGCATGTACCCGAGTATGTGTATTGGTGTAGAACGTGTACACGTATGTGCCGGTAGCTTGCAGCCAAACCAGGAGCTGGAGGGGATGCACATGTTTTGCATGTTTCTCATTGAGGGGCCTGGTACATGCCACTCGTACAGGGGCTTGCCCTCCTCCGTGAAAAATTCTAAAATCTACAATGCTCTCTCGTGCATTCCGAGGCAGTTGGAGAATAGATTAAGGGACTTCTAGTCAATTTATTTCAATCCATAAGGTTTAGTTTGAGCAGTCTACTGTACTTCTGAAAGTTTGCTGTCTGTGACCAGCTCAGCAAAAAGAAATTGGCATTAAAAATGCAAGACATTCTGTCAACGTTGTGTATTTCTGAAGCTGTTAAAATAGTTCCATGTTCTGATAAAGCAGCTTTTGCCTAAGATTCCTTCACAGTTTTGCTCATACCGGTAGATTTGGACATTTTCAATGAACACAATCTCCAAAAGTATAAGTGACGTGTCAGGACCCTTATTTTCAGTCAATGTCCTGCAACTTCAGCGCAGGCTGTGTCAGGGCATCACATCATGTGATAAAGGTGTTTTGGAGTCCTGACTAAACTGGAAAACAAGGTGTGAGAGCTCTGTTAAAATCTGGTGCAATATGTTTGGCATGCAAAGTTAAAGGCTGAATTTACGGTACATGAATGGTGTTAGGGCAGCTTTACATTATTAACCACACTAGTGTTTCTCATTCAGGCCTTTGACATGAAAAGATTTATCTTTCTAAAATAGAACTGAATCTAAAAGACAGTTCACTGTACCTGTACAGTACAGTATAGGTACATTTGCGCTTTAATCTAAAATCTAAAATGTTGCATGAATGCTGAGAAAGTCCTCTTAATATGTCAGGTATTCATCGTATTGCATGTACTAGCTTGTAGGACAGAAAAGTCTTCTCTGACAGTGTCATTTATTTATTTCATGAACCTCCTATTCATATACATTGTACCAGTATGTGTACATAATGTACATGTGTCATAAAGTGCATGGACCCGACCTTCTGTTAAAAGTGACGAGCATTGAATTCAAACTCTTACTTGTTGTTCTTAATGCTACAGCCAAACACTTTATAGCAATCAGAAGCTGCTTTTGGAGAAAAGTGCATAACAGAGGTCATGCAGCCCTGCTAAAGTCATCAGTGTACCCTGCAAGGAGAGGAAATGACACTTGTCGAGTTATAGACTTTTTTGCAGAGTTTTACTGTTCTCTTCTCTGATCGTCAAGGAGAATTAGCATTGCTTTTGTGCTGTACATGTATACATGTAGTTCCCATGGCCAATCAGCTGGGCTGTTAAGTACATTTGTTCCCTTGTGGGTGTAACATTTTGTCTTAGTGCTTGAGATTGCATCCCAAAATTATTTTGTTGCT